AGCTTTTTATACCTTCATTCTGACTCACTACCACCAAAGGTCAACCTCAAACCCATCGTCTGTGCAGTTTCTTTGACGCAGCTTGAGAAGCTTTGAGTCAGAGCAAACTGAGTAATGAAACTAAAGAACGCATTTGGTTTCTTGCCAGACCTCTATGTCACAATTTGCTGATGAAAGTAGCAGGCAGTCCAACGATGCACAAAGACTGCAGTCTTTAAAAGGGTCGTGTCCAGATATGTTAAAAAATGTGTCCATTAAGGGAGTGCTGAGAGCAGCCAGGAGATTGATCATTGATCACAGGCAATCACCAGTCAGTGATCCTAATGGGAAAACTGGAACTATCATCTGTTGATTGATAAGCCTGAAACACTTCCACTTGTCTTATGGCGTCCTGTTGAAAATTAAAACAATTTAATATTTGCAGATGTAACAGCTTAAGCCTGATTTATGCTTCTCTTTCTTCATAAAAGTCTGAATTAGAGGTAATCAGCGCCATCTTGGTAGGCACTGATTATGACCGGACATATGGCTTCCAGACAAACAAAAGGAAAATATATTGACCCTCTTGGCTGAGAGAAAGATACATGAACAAAATGGCTGCTGTGCGGATCGACGGAGAAGGGAAATATTTACACTTAATTTGATGCTTATGTAAGATATATAAGATGAAATAAAGTCGAAACGTTACAAGCTTAGAAAATGTCCACTTTTTTCTTGAAAATTTCTGAGATTAATTTAAAAACGGATGAGTTTTTTTTGGCTAAAATTGACTCTTTTTATTCATTTCATCCACAACTGATTCTAAAAACAGCTTCGGTGCTGACGAAAACATCCAGCCATTTTTCATGGTTTTTGGAAAATGAGCCCTTTCAAAAACCTCTCAAACGTTGACTCACAATTGACAGGCAGTGTACCATTTTGTAGCAACCCCAGCCTAGCTTAATCTGTCACCTACATGTTTGGTCATCTGAGTTTACCGTTGTCTGCACTGTACAATGGCTGCTGGAAACATTAAGGGTTCTGTTCTTTACAGAACCCTTCCAGAAATCACTTCCTGCATTCTTGTTGGTTGTGCAGGAGGCTCCACTTCTGCTTTTCAAAGATGTATGGTCATATAAGCGTGCATCTGTTTGCAGCAAGTGAAAATGTTGAGTGGGAGGCCATGGCCAGCAGCAGATTATTGATTTAAAGTGACAGGAGGCCCTAAAGCAGCTAAAATCTCATTACCTAAGAATGACATGTTGAATATGATGAGCATGTTTTGTATCGCCCATAGATCTATCCTAACCTGTTCAAGAAAGCATAATCTGTCATCTTCAAGTTAAAACATATTTATCTCAAGCTGTCAAACTTGATAATTTCTTTTTCACACATTTAGAAAAAGTCACTTTAATGCAGAAATTATTTTAAAGCTGATTTTTAAAAGCTGAAAAGTTCTTGTGAACAAAAGACTTTATAACTTCATGTACGTTACAAGAAAACTGTTTCTAAAGAAACTTAAGTCTGGTGCAGCCCTCTAGTGGGCATTTGTCTGTAAAATTACTGACGGCTTCTCAGTGAAAACATTTTATTTTGGATAACTTTAAAGCTCTTTTGGTTTGTGTGATTTCATGTAAGGTCATTTATAAATTTTGCTAGTTTTCCAAAGACTCGTTCAACTCGAAGAGATTTTTAAAATATTCAAACAACACTGAGGTGGAAAGATGTAATAATGGAAGGTCATAAGGTCAACCTGTCTGAAGGTCAACCTGTTTGAAGTCCAATGATCTACAAAGAGAAAATCCTTCATGACTGGAAAACATGTCAGACTGCTGGGAATCAGGGCATCAGTGGATGAAGTCAGTCTGAGGTCGAAGCGTTATGGTTGGAGATGGAAAAAACCCAAGAGCTCAATCCAGACTCTGCGTCAGCTGTTGTTTCCACTGTGCACATTGAGGCTCATTAAGGTGTATTTGGTGTTTGAAAGAAGCATTATTAGCATTTTTACCAAAGTTCTCAAAAAACAAGTTCAAACCGTCACTATGCTGTGACAGTTTATGAGACAGATAAATTGTGAAAAGATCAATCTCCTCCTTATTATTGCCGGCTGAAGAAAAACAACCAATCAGAGCCAGGGGGAGGGTCTTAGAGCTGTCAATCAAACTTGTGTACACGCTGCTAAATGTATCATGGAGGAGACACAATTCATATGCTGTAATCAGAGGCTATGCATTCATAAAAGGCTCTGCTGTCAGAAAGAAGATCTTATTGTGTTTTTATTGTTAGCACTGGAGGGGGCAGAATAACTTGATTTTTGTATTTATTTATTTATTTTCAACAGATTACCTCACACGTCACTGCCACAACATGCTGACAACTTCAACAGATATGGGACAAAATGTTCTAAAAGGTACATCCTGCGCTTTAAATACCACCAGAAATACCAGAAGTCCACTTCGCCTTATCTACAAGAGAATGAGTGAAACTAAAGTCTAAACCTGAAAAATAAAACTCCAAAATATTGTGACGGGACTTTCAGAAGGTTCTACATGCTGCATCATGCAAACTTTGTTTCTTCTGCAGCTTTACTCATTTATTTTTATCTTATTTGAAGGACATTGAAATTAAAACAATAGAAATGCTGAAAAACTCGACAGAGTCCAGGAGACATTGATCACTAAACTGAAACGTTTCAAGAAAATCATTTTAAGATTTGTAAAACTTGAAGACAGAACTTCAAATTGTTTTCTTAAGAAAGAACAGGAAAAAGGAAACAAAACCAAAATCGAGGAAACGGCAGTATCTGTTGCAGAGCCTGAAACCACAATTTAACTGAAAATAAGCCATGTATGACAAGGCAGATGTTGAACTTTTATTTAGTAGGCTCGGCTAATTTCACAATAGAAAATTGTTTCAGAAAATTTAATTTCAGGCTGCTGTGATTTTAAATGAAAATGTATTTTTACTCAGTCAGTTCAACACTTTCCCAGCGTTTGCTTCATGAAGGTCTTAAAAAGGGGAAAAACCAGATCTGCTTTTAGTGCATAATGTTTTCATCTGAAGTCAGATGAAGCTTCCACTGAGGTGGAAAGATGTAATCCTGTTATAATTTCAACCCACTGTCAGCTCATTCAGAGAACAAAGGCCTGCTGCTTCTTGGAAAACACATTTTCACATTTTGCAAAAGGATGTTTTTTAAAGGGCCGTCAGGGCAGGAAATGGCAGTCTCTGGTTTGAGCTGTTTCGCGTTCACCGCATTGAATCCGCTCAGCCCACACAGCCTCACCTTCTTACTTCAATTTCTCTCCCAAAACAAGTAATTCCAGGATGGACAGACATGTCCGATCAAATGCACCAAACCGACTGGACTGGCTCAAGTTTATCCGTCACCAAAAGCTTCAGTTTTGTTTCTGCAGCTCTGCATGCAAGGTGAACATGCACATTTGCAAACTTCCTCCAGGTAGATTTAATCAATAAACCTTTATCTACAAGACCTTTACCAGCTACAGGAGGTGAAGAGGTGATCAGTGTCACAGGAAGACTTCAAACCTCAGACCTGCAGCTGCACGGCTAAATAACAGTATTCAACTCTATCCAAATCTTTAAAATAATGTTTCGAACATTGAAAGACATTGAAAGAAGTGGAAAATAATATCCTGCTGCACAAACCTAATTAGGTCTCTGTTGTGCTGGTATGCCAGGATGGCTCCATGAACCCAACATGCCAACATTACAATTAATTGTTTACAATTAATTGTTGGTGATTGTTTGTCAACCAAACATTGAAAATTCAATGAGTCACTGCAATGATGTTGTGTGCAGAGGGAAAAGTTTGGAAAGCAATAAACAAAGATCAAACTTTCCGTTTCTTCCTGCTGCCTCTTCTGTCAGGTTGAAAAGACACACACAGGCCCAGCCCAGTGCGTGCTGGTCCCATACCAGTCCCCATGCTGGGGACCTCAGCATGGGGACTGGCGCCTTTATTCACATGAAGGGTTTGAACGTCCATCACAAATCTGATGAACCAATGATTACATAGATTTCAGGCCGCGATTAAAATGAGTTCTAATCGATTAACTAATAATGTCTGCTTTTTGTAGTGTTGCAGTCCGTCCTCCATCCAGCAGGGGGCTCCGCTGCCTGGTCATCCTTAGTGGAGTCGTTCATATAGGATTAAAGATGGCAGCTACTTCTGCAAGGGAAGGAGAAACGGTCCAAGCAGAGCCCGGTATGGGTTGTTTAAAATATTAATATTCAATAAACTCCGTAAGTCATCACATTATTAGCGCTTTATGAGCTGCTTAGAGGCGTCAAATAAAGCGGAGGAGACGATGGAGAAAAAATTGTAACATGATAAAAAACAAACAAACAAAATGCCAATTAATAAGATTTATTTTGAGGGCTAATCTCAGTTAATGCACTTTATGGAGATGAGTTTCATCTTCTGCATGAATATCTCCCTCTTCATGGGGAATTAAATGTTTCACATGTTTTAGTTCATGTTTTGTTTCTTAAATATGTGTGACTAAAGATGTAAGAAAACCACAAATTGCTGTATTTAATACAGACGATAAAATAATGCTAACATTGATTGATTTCTTGTTTAACATATTGTGAAAAATGTTCATGCAATGGAAATATGACAAGAGAAAACTCAAGTTTTTAAGAAACTTGAGTTTAATTGATTATTTGCATTCTTACTACCAACATTGCAGCTTTAATGCTTCTGCAAGAGGACTGGTTAGAAAAAAATGAACATTATTTCAAAAGGGAAGGAGCAGAAGAAACTAAAAAAAAAAATCATGTCTGCAGATTTGACTTGCAAGTCAAACTTATTTTTTCATCACCTTTGTGATTAAACTTGAAACTTGTTAAGATACAATCTGGTGTGTTTCCCCCAGGCTCAGATAATATCTGTGTTTTTTTTTTTTTTTTTTTTTGCACAATTTGAACTCTCACAGTTTGCTAATAGCAGCTGCCTCACCTCTCGCTGTGCAGACAGTCAGCAGGACTTCAGCCTGAAGGAAAGACTGCACCTCTTTACGTCTGCAGCTTTATTATTATTTTCACCTGTGCACAATAAGTCAGGAGCGATGAAGCTACTCGCTTTTTTAATGTGCATCATAAATTATCCTCTGCTTACAAATCAAGAGGAGAACACATCGGTATGGAATATTTTCATTTTCTCCATTTTTATGAAACTTTGTTTCCTTAATGTGAGCATTTGATTAGAAAAAACATTTTATATTTGCTTGTGCTAATATTTTTAGTCTTCTTAATAGTTATATGTCTTATTAAACATTTACTCAATTAACATATTTATTTCAATGCATCTATATATTTATATATATATATATATATAAAAGAAATATTTGAATTAGTATTTACGTATTTCAGCCCTTTAAACGAGTAGTATTGAGTCATTTCATCATAAAATCAGGAAATTGCAGCGGTTTCTGCAGAATGTGTTTGTGGTCTGAGCTTCATGCATTGTCAGGTGTGAACATCAAACTGAAACAATCATGGAAGAATGCTCCTTATTTATGCATTTATTTTGCTTTAAGTAAGAAGAGCAGACATCCAGCTGACAGGTGATGCAGTCACAGTAAAAAGATGATAAAATCTTCTGTAAAAGGAGAGCTGAGGAATTATAGTTTTAGTTTTTAATCCAACCTCAAGAGAACAAAAAAACTTCAAACATGCTTTCATGAAAATGAAAATGACGCCACAGTGGAAAAGCTCTGGGTTGAAATGCAGCAGCTTCCTGAAACCACCTTCAGTCGCAGAAACTCTCAGAAGTCATTTTCAGTCTGACTTTATCAACCTAACACATCATCTCCAAACAATGCTGCCCCTTCAAAGCTTCTACGAAGAATTGGTCCATATTGGACTCTAAAATATTTTATGTTGATGGTCTGACGCTCAATGGCTGCAAGGTTTAAAGGTTCTCTTGCTGCAAAGCAAACCCAAAAAACCAGCCGCCCGCCTGGTACCAGATGGTTACAGTGAAATGCTTTGTTTGGTTTTCTCTGAAAACGATGCTTTGCGTTTCGGCCAAGGATTTGTATCTTTGTCTCGTACTTTGAAGAACTTTCTCTCGTGATTCATGGAGGTGTAGCTTTGAAAACCATCATTTCTCTGACATTGGAGTGAATTTGATGGGATATTCTCCTCTGGGAATATTGGCAAACATCTTAAAAGGTTTCCACTTGGAAATAAGCAACAAATCCATTAATTGCACGATAATTTAAAACATTTGCATGATTTATCTTTTTTCTCTCTCTTTCTACCCAAAACTGGAGGGTAAAAGTGTTTAGTCTGGTGTTTTGGTCTCAACTTGACTTCATAATTCATTTTATTTGTTGTTTCTGTTTATTTATCTTGGATCTAAAATGTCTCTAAGTTCCAATATTAAATGTTTATGAGAATTTTAATACAGCGTTCTTGCATTTTCATGCATTTCCATTATACTACTTGAAAATTGTATCAAAACAACATTATCATTTGTCACAATTACTCCAGGGACAATCAATCATTTAGGAAATGTATTATTGCGACAGGCCTACTTTCTTTTGGTAAAGTGATGAACTTTAGAAATTAGCTGAAAATCCTTCACAGATTGAAGGACAGCAACAGTTTCATCTCCAAGTTTATTGCAGATGTTTAATTTGGCATGCAAACTCTCAGTTCCTTCATTTGCAACTTTTTCTGTTTTTTGTTCCCTTGAGGTTTGATTGAAATCAAAGGACCTGTTAAAGAGCAGATCAGGGCGTGAAGCAGTGGAAATACAACAGGATGTCATTTCTTTTCACCACGCCTGCTTAAAGTTTGACTGTAATTTATGGCAACTTCACTGAAACCTTCTGTGTTCACATCAGTTATTTCTGTCACCAACTACCACAATTCTGTTTTCATTTTAGGAAGTGGAACAAGGTTCATGGTTTTTTCCTGATAACAACACTTATGTCTATCCTGACTACTATGACAATGTCTCCCCCTGCGAAATACACGTGCCTGGATTTAACACCCTCGCCCTTCTGGTCATCTACATCATCGTGTTCGTGTTCAGCGTGTTGGGCAACAGCGTGGTGGTCTTCGTGGTCTGCTCTATGAGTAAAGGCAGAGCCAGCACAGATATCTACTTGATGCACCTTGCCCTGGCTGACCTCCTCTTCTGTTTCACTCTCCCCTTCTGGGCCGTCGAGTCTCACTACGGTTGGATCTTCGGTACCCTCCCCTGCAAGTTCATTTCCAGCTTCCAGGAGGCGTCAGTGTACAGCAGCATCTTCCTGCTGGTGTGCATCAGTGTGGACCGCTACTTTGCCATCGTAAGAGCGAAGCGAGTGTTGTCCTCCCGCCACCTGCTGGTGAAGGTGATCTGCGCCGTTGTGTGGCTGATGTCCGGGTTGCTGTCTGTACCCGTGGCAGTTCAAAGGGAGGAAATCCTTCATTCTGAACTGAACCAGTTCATTTGCTATGAGAACCTAACCGGGGAGAGTAGAGACCAGTGGCTGGTCGGCCTCCGGGTTCTGCGGCACTCTCTGGGCTTCTTCCTCCCCCTGGTGGTGATGGCGTTCTGCTACGGCTGGACGGTGGTGACGCTGTTCAGCACGCGCAGTCAACAGAAGCACAAGGCCATGCGCGTCATCCTGGCAGTCGTTCTGGCGTTCATTTGTTGCTGGCTGCCTTACAACGTCACCGTTCTGATAGACACACTCTATCGAGGCGGGTCGCTCGAAGAAACCTGCAGCATCCGCTACAGAGTGGAGGCCATGCTGGAGGTGACCAAGTTCATCGCCTTCCTCCACTGCATGGTGAACCCGGTGCTGTACGCCTTCATCGGGGAGAAGTTTCGGAACGAGCTGCTGACGGCTCTCTACAAACAGGGCATCATCAGCAAGAAGCTCTGGGTGTCTTACAGGAAGGGTTCTGTGGCCAGCGTGGCCAGTCTCCGGTCCAGAAACACCTCTGTGTCGGTGTAAGCTAACGCTGCATGGCCTTGATGCTCACTTCCAATATTTTGGGGGTTTTTCACGATCATTCATAATAATAAACCCAACTTCAATGATTATGTCCCCAAAGCGACCTGCTTGTGCCGAAGAAACCTGGACAACAAATCAGTAACAACATATAAAAATGAACATCAAATAACTCACCAACTCTTTGGTCACCTAGCAACAGCCTGTTGAGTAACTTGTGCAGCAGCAGTTTCAGGTTTTATTATAACTGTCTAAAAATAAAAACAGCACAGAGTGAGAGGAAAGTCACACCACCAGTTCGGCAGCATTGATCAGAAACCCTTCACTGCGTAACGTTTTCCAGCCAAACTGTCCTGCCTCTCTGTGACGTCACAGCAGTTTGGGCCGTTTTAGACTGAAAGAAGTACATTTGGGTCACATGTCCCTGCTGTGTGAACATAGCCATAAATATAATTACTGATGCAAAGATGCATAAATGAGATATTTAGAAGTATCTAGAGAATCCAGGAAAAGTGTAAACATTTAGCAGAAGTCTTAAAATCTATCTCTGGTTTTGTGTTTTTTGTGAATTTCAGCAGGTTGTGCCACGATGATTTCCATTGGGCGTATTAGTGGATATTCAGGTATATTTGGTGTTTAAGCTTTTAAATAGGAAACTATCAGCATTCTTCAAGGGTCCTGGATGTTTACCTTTTATTTTTTAAATACTTATTACTCTCAAGATAAAACGCACAGATGTCACAAAGCAAGGAAACTTCAGCTACTTTCAAAACATGGAACAAAAAAAAAAAAATATATATATATATATACACACACACACATATATATATATATATATATATATTATATATATATATATATATATATATATATATATATATTTTTTTTTTTTTTTTTTTTTTTTTTTTTTTTACATCCTGTCCTCAGCAGATTTCTCATGTCACAAGATTTTTTTTCTCAGGTCTAACGTTGAGATCTCTCAAGAACTGTGAATTCAAACAGAAAGTCAATTATTCAGACAGAGATACTTTAAGATGTTTCGTCTTTTAAAAACTGTTCCAAGATGGAGTTTGGAAGCGATGATTCCTGATTTGGCTTAAAACCATTGCTATTTTCTGTCGATGCATCAATTATTTAATCTCTTCAAATAGAAGTGATGGCGACGGCGTGTTACCATCAATGAATATCTCAACACTTACAGTCCGTACGACTAGAAACTGATGGTGATTCTGATGGAGAAAATAGATTGAGACAAACACTTTGTGTTTGATCAACAGGAAGCATCTCCATAGCTACAGGAGTTTTAGTTTGGTGCTTTGAAACGCACAGGAGTGCAACCACACCGTCTGCAAAGGCTCATAAGCAGCGATGTCACATCCATCTGCAAAACATCATGAAGCCGTTTTCAAAAACTCAGAACTTATGGAAAATCCTCCCAGGTATTAAAACATCTCCACTCACAGGAATCCCAGAAAAATTCACCCCAAGGTTAGAAGGTCAAAGGTTAAGAGCAATGACAAAAGAAAAACATGGATGTGCCTTAATAAAACATAAGATACCAGATGCAACGTCCTTTTGACCGATGAAGCCCAGGTAGAAATGGTTGTCCATGTTTGAAGACACCAAACACAGACTCTGGTAAAGCAGGGTGGTGGAGGAATGGTGATCTGGGCTTGTTTTGCAGATAAATGCTGTAGTATCAGATGTGAGGTGATGATTCTAGCAGTTGAAGCTTGACCAACATTGAGTTATGGAGGTATCTTCACTTCCATAGCCCATTATTGACCCAATGTTGGGAAAGAAGAAGCTGGACGTTTGCAGACGTCAAAAAGCAGAAGTGGTAAAAATGACACATTTTGTGTCCTGTGACCTTTAGTGTTGGATGACCCAGTCATTCTTAGAGGTTCTGAAATGTCTCAGTTTCTCCTAAAAGCCATTTAAAGTTCCCGTTGGCGTCAAACACCAATAAAGCCTCTGGCTTCTGCAGCTGTTCTCGATTTCATCAAGCGAAGTTTGACTGTTGACTCAACCTCATCGCACTCTTTAGATTCTGGGAAAGAATCGAATGTCAATGAGTTTGAAAGATCAAATCGACTCATTGACGAACGTTCAAAACCACGAGTTCACCAAGACTTTACAGTTGAACGTTTCTGAATGTTAGTGACACGTTTGAATAGCTTGTATTTTTAGTTGTTTTGCTGTTACAATGTTTCCTACTGATCGTGACTTTTTTCATCAGAAAAACAAATTTACAATCAGATAAGAGGAGAAGGTGGTGAAACTCGTTTCTGTTTTCACAACTGAGGAACAGCATGTGGCCTTTGATGAATGACTTTCATTTATACAACATTTCTGAGGAAACTGCTGCATCTTTTTATCAGTAGTCTCATCTCAAGTTTATTTTAAGGTTTTTTTTTTAATAATTGTTTATCATTGTTGATGCAGAAGTGTACTTTTCTGAACTAAATGAATGTTTTCTATGAATGGGAAGCAGCTTTCAGGATCTAATATGTACAGATCCAGATTTAATGCACAATAAATATATTTTTCTGTACCAGTCTGGTTTACTTGCAGAGCATCTTATGCAGGATCATAAACCTGAAGTTACTGACATTTGGTTAAAAGCTGCTTCATCCTAAAGGCTTCAGCCAAGTTCCTGTTTTTCTGTTTTTCTTTGCGGTTTGGAGGTGTTGCTGTTTTCTGACTTACTCGACACAAGACCTGTTAAAACCTCAGGCGAAAAATAATCACAGAGACAAAACATGCAAACTGTAGACCAAACTCTATTTCTCTTAAGGAACAAGTCACTACTGGAACAAATTAATTCTGGGGTAAAAGAGAAAAGAATAATAGATGTCATGCATCATGGGAAATAAAATATGTACGCAGTTTTGCACTACGCTTGATTAAAAAAAGGGAGAAATTAATAGAAGGATGAAATTAACCAACAGCTTCTGAAAGTTGGCAACATTCTTTAGTTTTCTCATTTTTAATTTTAAATTGATGCCAGAGAAAATATTTATCTTCCCAATGATCCAAATGCACATCAACGTGTCCATAACTATGCAGAAGATTTACTATTTTATTGTATTTTTTTTTATTATGTTTCCACTGATTCACAGCTCAACTCCCATCCTAAAATGTGAAGTTCGGCCCAGAAATTAGGAAATTTTAACGTATAATGAATCAAAATATCAAAAGTCTAATCTGCTGTATATCTGAGTGCGGTGGCGTGGGTTCAAATGGAAAAAGATATTTTTATTGTACCTCCTGCGTTCTTATCTAAATCTGCCTGCAAATTTAAATAAACCCACACAAAAAAACTCAAACAGATAATTTGATGAATATCAGGAGAGAAATGGGGGGAAAAAATCCCCAAATTACAAAATCCTTGCTATTAATAAAACAATTATAGATTGCTTAAAAGGCTGAACGTTGACTAGTAACCAGCATTTAAACTGAACTTTGAGTTGAATCTGAAGCTTTTACAACCTTCATTTTTCTTTTTACACATCATGCTCCGTGTGTTTCTCTTAATTACATCATCCTGCACTTTTACCACAAAAATTTATTTACACTGTATAACTTGATGTTCCAGAGGCTGCATAACCAACAAATCTACAAATTATCACCATAAATCTGAGTAACCAGTGACTATTTTACATCTAAAATCAGATGTTTCATCTGAAATAAGACAAACTGATTTAAACTTTTTAGCAAGATCAGTAGTAATTCCTTACTACTGATGAAAAAGTGAGTTACATTGGCAGATTATTTCACTTTTAACATTTTTTTCACATTTTATAAGTTAATTTAACTGACAACTGAACCAGTACTTTTTAATCAATATTAAGGTGTTTTGTTTTTTTTTTACTTAAAACAAGCTTATAAATCTTGCTAAAAAGTTAGTCTTATTTCAAATGTACCAAGATATTTGCACAAAAAAGCAGACCCAAATTATTTGGTAGAATTGTGTTTTGCAGTTTTTCTTGTTGTTTTACTAAATAAACTACAACTACTTGCTAATAATATTGTAGCAAAGTTCTCCTCTACCTTAAAGTGCACAAACGTCCATGCAAATTGAAACCAACATTTTGAAGCCGCAGTAATGATTTTAATTATTGGAGGTTTTAATAGATGAGCTGGAACAGGAACATCTGGCGCCATCTAGTGGGGATTTATGTGCAATCAAACGTTTATTCATATTCAACTAGTTAGAAAATGTTTTGGTTTTTCTTCCATAAACACTTTGTTCTTTACAAAACAACAGAAAGATCTCTGGACGACCCAAAAACCTCCAACTCTCAGTCACAAGCCTTTCATTCATAGTTCAGCTGCTTCAGCTTTAACAGCGCTGCATTCTTCTGAACATCATTTATTCTCAAATCTTGACTTTTCATAGTCTGTCAATATCATTTATGTCTGAATCTGGGTAAAAACAGGAGCTATTTAATCATGTACATGCAGTGTGTGCATGCCCTTGAGCCAGAACACGCATCATGAATGATTGGATAAAAAGTAAGCGTTTCCTTTTAATCAGTTTGTAGTTGGAAAATATGCATCAACATGATCAGATTCTCACTTTATTGAGCAGAAAAAGAAAATATTTCTACAAAAAACTGAAACGGGAGGATTTAAAACAAACAGCGAGAAAAAGTACATTTTCAAACTTCTTATGGTATTTAGGAAGACATAATTTTTTTTCTTCAATTTAAGCTTCTAATCTAATATATATTTTTTTTATCATTACAGAGTGGAGCGTTATTTATCTTCAATAATTATAAATGTTTTTGTGAGTTAAAGCAACAATAATTATAAATGTTTTTGTGAGTTAAAGCAACAATAATTATAAATGTTTTGTGAGTTAAAGCAACAATAATTATAAATGTTTTTGTGAGTTAAAGCAACAATAATTATAAATTTTTTTGTGAGTTAAAGCAACAATAATTATAAATGTTTTTATGAGTTAAAGCAACAATAATTATAAATGTTTTTGTGAGTTAAAGCAACAATAATTATAAATGTTTTTGTGAGTTAAAGCAACAATAATTATAAATGTTTTTGTGAGTTAAAGCAACAATAATTATAAATGTTTTTGTGAGTTAAAGCAACAATAATTATAAATGTTTTTGTGAGTTAAAGCAACAATAATTATAAATGTTTTTGTGAGTTAAAGCAACAGAAGCACCATTTTTTCAGCAGCTTCTGATTTTCAGCAGTTCGACCCGCCTGGGGGCGGAGTCACGCTCGTGCGTAGCGACGTTCTGCGTTGCCGTGGTAACAGCATTAAAAACAGCTCGGCTAAACCTGAGTAGCTTCTGCGGGAAGGATAAACTGCGCCTAAAGTCTGGAGGTTTGTCGTCGAGGATATTTCACCGCCACTGAGGTAATTCAGCTCTGAACTGATGGATGACGGTCCCGAGTTCAGCTTACAGGTTTTGATCGGACCGGACCGGACCGGACCGGACCGAACGGAAAGCTAGCGGTCGGAGTTGGCTGGGCTCAAAACATTGTCACAGTGTACAAGTTGATCCACGTCTACTTCCGCTTGTGCTTCAAAATAAAACAGTGAAAGCTATAGCTAATTGATTACCATGTAAAAACGTGTTTCAGTTAATATTTTTGTTTTTCAGATGTTTTTCTGACATATTTAATTTCTTTTTGGCAGCGGAGGTGAAGGCTTTTAATTTGTAAAGTAATGTTTGTCACTAGCTTTCTGCAGTAGAATGAAGATGGAAGTCTTCTTCCAGCTGTAACAAGTCATTATGTCCTCCAACCTCCCTCTGCACCGTCACACAGCCAAGTATTTTTGGTCTATTTTCTAGAAAATATCGTAGAAATAAGACAAATCTAATTAATAGACAAGATGGCAATCGGAAGTCAATAGTTCTTTGATATTGATGAAAAAGTACCAGTACAACTGGCAGATTTTCACTTGCAAACAGAAAAATGTCTTGTTATAAAACTAACAAGACATTTAAAGCATTTGCCAGTGGACTTTTTACTTTTTCAATATTGATATTCAAGAATTATTTACTTAAAACAGGCTCTTATATCTTGTTGAAAAGCTACTTGTAAATTAGTTTTGTTTTATTTCAAGTCCATTAAGATTTTTGCACTAGAAACTTGATCAGAAATACTTGGGTAGAAGAAGTGTCATTGCACTGTGTTGTTGTGGAAAAGTACTGCTCTAAGAACTGAACTGAGGGTTTCATTAGTGAAGATGAAACTAGGAATAAACAGTTTCTGCAACTTACATTAGAAATATTTCTACTATACGTATTACGGCTATTATGAGAAAAAAAAGAACATTTCTGGCAAAAACTCAGAAATGTCTATGTTTTTTGTAGAATATTTCTGAGATAAATTTTAGAATTTTTGAGTTTCTTTGAGGAAATGTTTGACTTTTCAAGCTCAGAAATTTACTTTTGTTTTTAATAAAATTGCTGAGATTAAATGAAACATTTTTGAGTTTTTCGGCGGAAGTTTAATTCACTGTTGTTCCATCGAGACTGCACCCGTTTGAAAGAAAAATTTTCCATTTAAAGCATGTAAATGAGCATATTTTTAATTGATACTAACTTAAAACTTATTGAAATACGTTAGTGTGAAAATAAATGTTTCTCTGAACATTCATTTTAGATCAGAAATTGCCTAAATTTGTATAAAATCAACTGTTTTTTATTAATAAATGTATATATTCATAAAAATCTAAATTATTCCAGTTAATTATATGGAACAGGTTCTTAGTACACCAAACCTTTTTGAGCAAAAAAAATATATATATATTTTGAAGAAGAATCTCTGGCACCGGAAGTTGATCACCTGAAACAGCGGTAGCTTAGCATGCTATTTTTAGCCGCGTTTCCTCCGAGTTGATCACTTCATTCATCAACATGTTCTGCTCTTATTGACGTTTCACAGTGAATGTTTCACCCTCTTTGTGAAACCCTGTACGGGAACCCGCAGGTTGACCCCGGTGCCATTTAAAGCCGGTTCTGTTGGCGGGTTCGGAACCGGTCAGGATGTCCAGTGACCTCGCTGGTGTGTGGGAGGTGGCGCTGAGCGACGGAGTCCACAGGATCGAGTTTGAACATGGGACAACCACCGGGAAAAGAGTCATCTCTGTGGACGGAAAGGTCAGCAGCACCAGTCCAGCCTGAAGAAGGAACTGGTCCCAGTTTGCAGTCGGTTCTCATCAACCTTCACTTTTGTCCTTAAAAGCACCGACGGAATAATTTGGGCACAGAAAAACTAATTTAGGGGAAACTAATTGTGATAAGCGTTTTCAAAGTGAGCAAAAAACGCTGAAATGAAAATGTAGTTCTCACGTGACGTTTCACTTCCGGAAACTTTGCAGCTGACGGCCATCTTGATAGGTACCCTAACCAACTGTCATAACAGTTGGTATGGAGTTGCTATCAGAGTTGGGTAGTAACTAGTTACATTTACTTGAGTAACTTTTTGAAATAAGTTTTTTTTTATTGAAAGAAACTGATTCGGGAAATTTTCTTTTGTTAAATAAATTATTGTAATTTTCCTCCTTAAAATGCCAAAATTTCCACTTAACTTCATATATTGGTCAAGCTGATGGTGTAATTTTTAAATATTAAATGAATGGTAATTTGAGCAGTTACTCAGTGCTTTATTGAACTTTTTACCAAAAATATATTTTTTGTTGCGCTACTCTGGTTGGTATGACAACAATAAACAACCCACATTCTGTGTCTGATCACAACAGCAAACTTTACGTTGATATATCTTTCACTTGCACAGTGGTTAAGACGGTCAATGTACTTACTTTTTGTTGGTCTTGAATTTATGATTGGTTGTTGATTTGCCTACCAAGATGGCGGCTCAGTGGAGCGAGAACCAATATTAGGACTTATTGACTTAAAACAAACTCCTGTTTCTTGCTAAACAGTTACATGCAAGTTAGTTTTGTCTTATTTCAGGTGGACTGAGATATTTTCACTAGAAACTAAAACTAATTGCTGTGTGTCGTTGACCTTGGCTTTGGGTTTCCAGGAGGTTCTGAGGCGGGACTGGATGTTCAAACTGGTCGGGAAGGAGACGTTCAGCGTGGGCCAGGCGGACACCAAAGCCACCATCAACATCGACGCGGTCAGCGGCTTCGCCTACGAATACACGCTGGAGATCAACGGCAAGAGCTTGAAGCAGTACATGGAGAACAGGTCAAAGGTCACCAGCACCTGGCTGCTCAACCTGGACGGCATCGACTGCAGGGTGGTTCTGGGTGAGCTCAGTTCCACCTCTTTTAATGTCCAAGTAAAATATCAATCTTACTTGGATTTATTGTTCATTCATATGATCAATAATAATCAGATTGATTAGAGTAGCCAAATATTAAACTATTAAGAGTAAAACGTATTTGATTCAAGAGTAACTGATCAAAACATCAATCTATTAAACTTACTAAATGACATCATCAAATTTAAATTTAAATGTTGAAATTTTAAGGACCAAAATGAAAATAATTCACATTTACAACATAATTTTTTTTTTTCAAATCAGCTTTTAAAACTGAGGAAACTTTAACAAACCTGCAGGTGTGTCTCTGTCTGTGTGTTTTCACAGTGGATTCAGAAACTTTATTTAAGTAAGAATGCACTGTAAAAACACCAAATCTGACCAACCATTTTTATGTAGTTTTATCTTAATACACTTGATATGAAACAAAACTAACTCATAAGTAATTTTAGCAGGAAATATGAGCTCATTTAAGTCAGTAATTCCTTCATTTTGATATGAAATAACTTTTTTGTCATAAATTAAATAGTCAGTCATCTTTTTATCCTTCAGGAATTATGGACATAAAACTTTCCCAAACAGTAACTCCGGCAAATGTAACTAATTACTTCCCATCTCTGGTAATTATTGTTATTGATCCGATATTGAGAGTGGTGACTTGTGCTCCTCAGAGCTGCGCTCTCGCATTAGCTGCAACTAATCTGATTTTCGGCTTTAAGCTCCACAGCGCCACCTCTCCTGACTGCACAGGTTAATCTCTTTCATAATCTCACTGCTTGCAGCTCATCAGGTGACGCTCTGCGGTAATCCTTACGTAACGTTTAGAGTAGGAAAAATGTGCTGCTTTCTCTAAATTACATGGAAAACTAATTGTCATAGTTAGCTGCTTTAGCTTCATTTGAAACAGTTAAACCGTAGTCAGACATATTAGATCTTTAGTTCCTGATTATTTTAAACCTTAAGACTCCAAAGTCATCAAATTTAAGCACCTTTCAAGTAACATGTAGGAGCTTGTTTTAGGCAAATGACTCCTAAATATTGATGAAAAAGCAGGTTGTTTTACCTTCAACAAGACATTTTTCTTTTCTGTCAATTTTGATGAAAACAAGAGAAACCAGATGGAGACAGACATATTCGCTGCTGCAGTCTCAGCAGACATTCTTATTTCTGTATAAATAAATCAAGTTTTAAGATGAACAGATTTCTGAAGTCCTGATTAAATGAGTAAAGTAGTAAAATCAGTTAAACTCCTCTGACTTCCTGAATGTTTTCTCTGTTTTCACCTCCAGAGAAAGACACCATGGACATTTGGTGCAATGGAGAGAAGATTGAAACTGCTGTAAGTATTTTTGAATTAATCAAAAAAATAATCCATTACAGTTTATAGTTTTATGTTTTCTATGCAAATATTATTTTCTCAATCAAATCAAAACAGTCTTTACCAAATTACATCAACCAGTCCCTCCAGTTCTGCATGAATATTCACTCAAGATCAACACATTTCTGTAGTTTTTCATGCTAACGCTTAATTATTTTATTGCAAATTTTCCTCCAAAATGGTCAACATTGGGTTTGAGATGCTAACTCCCACCTGCGGGTGGCAGTATAACTTAGTCATATTGCTGCTGCAGCTTTACTTACTGTAACAAAAAGTCACATTTACTGTAATACAAAAAGGCAAACATCAAAAATTCCCAGGAAATATGTCTAAATTAGTTCTGCAAATCAGCCTCACTGCAAAAATGTCACAAAATAATTAAAAATTGTGGAAGGACTGACCAGTATGGGAGACGATTACAGCCACTGGAAAAACATCTTGAATTAAAAATGTCTCAAGTCTGAGGAAATTTTGGGAAGAATTTCCTCCTTTTCCAAAGATCCATCTTAAAAGATGATTGTATGAACTTATCGACTGCTGAAGAGCTTCTTCTTCTTCTAGCAGTTTATTGGGTTTTATAAATACATTCTGGCCCAACCGGCCCTTTCAGAGCATTCAGAACCTCATTGTTGCCCAAAGAGAAGTCGACTTTTTCCGTGCTGACGCTGCGATCTGCGTCCGCAGGGCGAGTTCGTGGACGACGGCACGGAGACGCATTTCTCCGTGGGAGACCACAGCTGCTGCGTGAAAGCCGTGAGCAGCGGGAAGCGGCGAGACGGCATCATTCACACGCTGCTGGTGGACGGCACAGAGGTCGCCGAGTGCACCGAGTGACCCGGTTCGGCCCGGACTCGGTCTGTCAGACTGGAAAAGTTTCCTTTAAAATGGCTGCCGCGGCGCCAGCGGGCCACTCTGGGCACAGATAAACGCCATAGAGTCTTTTTAGTGGCAGACAGAGATTCAGCGTCTCTAAAGGTTTACATTAATATTGATGATGTAATTTATAAGTGAAACGGTTCTGCTTCAGCCTTTCTGGTGGAAACCAGGAACCTCTGTGGTTTCATGTTGAGTTATTGTCTGCTTAATTTATGGGACCAATCAGCTGCTGCAGAAGGAATCAAGGCCCCTGCTGATCGCTGCGACTGTTTCAGACAATCATACTGATTAGTTACACTGCAAAAACAGAAAACAACACCAGCTAATGTACCGAGATAGTTTCTAGTGGCAGGATGTAAGATATCGGTTTAGGGTCATTGCAAAAAAAAAAAAAATCAACAGCCAATCTGTGAAGAAAAGCATTTTTCCCATACTGTAAACTTATAATAATATAACTGTTTTTATAATAACAGTAACTATATATATATAGTTAACAGAAAATATCTAGAAAAGGACATTTCTGAATTTGAAAAGTCAAACTTTTTTTTTATTTTGAATTTCAAAAGTTACTCTAGAATAATTTTGAGATTTATTAGAATTTTTTTTTCTAGAAAGTTGTCAACTTTTCAAACTCAGAAATTTTCAGCCAAAAAAATCCCAGAAATTTTCTTGTAAAAAACATGGAAATTTCTGAGTTTTAAGTCAAAAATCTAAATTTTTTGGAGAATTTTCAGAGTTTCAAAAGTTGAACATTTTCAATTTTTGAAAATTTTCTTAATATTAAAATGTATGAAATTAATCTCAAACTTTTGACTTTTCAAACTCAGAAATGGTCCAACGGTGGAAATGAAACTGATATTCTGTCGGACACTTGAAGTTGGAAGAATTATTATATAAATATATTTATGACTTATGTCTTTAATTTATAATATGGGAAAAATATCTTGTTCCACTTATAAGTTGTAGTTTTTAAGATTATTGACTTGAAAAAAGCTCCTAATTCTTGCCAAAAAGTTACTTGTAAGTTAGTTTTCTTATTTTAAATGTACTAAGATATTTGTAGTAGAAACTAAAGAGAAATCCTCGGCAGGATTTTGTGTTTTTGCAGTGCAGGCTACATGTACAGCTGCTGTAATCTCCTATAATCTGTGTAAACGTCCTGTTTGTCCTCAACTGTGAAACTTTGTTTTATTGTGGCTGTTCAAACTTTTAGTTTAAATTTCTCTTTATAGAGGAACTCGGTCAGATCTTGTTTTTTTAGTCGGTACTGTCTGGATGTTAGTCGTGGAAACACGCCAGTAAAAGCCTTCCCTGATGGAAGCGGTCTAGTTAAAGGCCACATCTTGTGTTTTCTGATGTTACAAACTGTATTTATAGAACAGATTTAATGCACAGAAACCTCAAAGCGCTAATAAAAAATAAAAAAACTGTTTCTGACATAAAACACGGTGATACTATTTACAAATTCACACACATTAGCATTTTCCTGGCTGCTGTCTTAATATGTTGCTGCAATATTTCTGCACGATGTTTTTCCTCATGATGTCGTCTGGAAGGTGCAGCAAGACAGCCCCACAGCATGATGCTGCCACCGCAGGAAGGTCGGTACAAACTTCCCTGTTCTCCCTCCAGATGGTCGCTATGCCCAGATATTTACACTTTTCTTTCTTCATGTCTCTAAAAGATGAAAATCTTTATCTCAAGCTTCAATCTGGCTTTTTGTGCTTCTGTTAGAGTTCTGGCTTCTTCCTCGCTGAGCGGCCCGTGATTACAGGACAGGAAGCTTCTGCTCTGATGTCTCCTGAACATTTTCTGTTCAGTTGTTTACTTGTATCCTAGCAGCTGAAGTCAATGTAAGGCAAGATGGCAACACCAGATCCTTCAAAATAAGACTTCCTCTCTCCAAAATAAATCTTAAATGTTTCTCTTCATTTTTTTTGGAATTATGTACGATTATGCTGAATGTAATTTTAAATTAGACTGAACGCTCGGCTTGCCAGCTTCAGCAGAACCTTCTCTGGGTCTTTGTTTGTTGGTTTGAGATTAATTCACACGTTTCGGACCAGAATGATCCTGAAATGTCCTCATTTGTTAGATTACAGGCAGCTGAGTTTTAAATAATAGTAGTTTCATCTTCAGATGAACAGAAACTGGTCACACTGCTGTTCCTTTCCAACTTTATTGAGATTTATTTACTTACAGCAGCATTAGTACAATGTTTACACAAATTTAGACAAAGATCCCTTAGAAATAGACATGCAGATTCGCTGTAAGGCATCAACTGATACTGAGCTTTTTATAGAGAATAGAAAGACTGATGCTACATTTATAAAGTCAAATAAACTGATGATTTTACTGATTTGATCCCAAATAATGATTTTGGTTTAACATACTTAACACTTTTCATCAGCAAACAGATGATTATAAAACTTTTGTTGAAATCTAATAACTTCAAAAAAGATGAAATAAATCATAAAATAATAAAAGCATGATTCTGAACCAAAGATATAATAAGACTAACGTGATATTTGTTCTGCTTATACTGAATATGAAAATCAACATTTTTAATAACAAAAAACCTTTTAGTTTCTAAGTCAGCATACAAGTTTATTTTGAAACCTTTCTCTGAGGCTAAAAGTGAATTTACATTAAACTAGTTTACTTCCTGGAGATTCTTCTTGATCAATTTTTCTGCAATCAGATTCTGATTTCAAACCAAAATGAGTAAAACGTTTTATATTAAGGAAGAATGTGAATTCTTCTTGCATGTGATGATGTACTTTGGCAAAGCCTGATAACCGCTGAAGATAACAGAGACATCAGATCCTCCAGACACGCTGTCATAGAGAATGTAGGAACCTTTTCCAACCGGAGGAGGAAGAATAAATCCTCGTTCACCTTTAGCCGAGTTTCCCAGCAGAACTTCAGCCTCCACAAAGTACAGGTACTCCTCCCCTTTCTCCCTCCACAGGTCCAACGCTGTTGTTATGCGGCCTGCGAAGTAGATTCCCTCTCCATACTTTGGATCTGCAACCAGAAGGAGATTCATTGCAGTGTCAATGTGTCACATTTCCTGATTAAACACAGAGTTCTGCAGGGTTTGGTTCTCAGACTTCTTCACTTCAACAGCAACATGATCCCAGTGGCTCAGATTACTGAATTAGCTCTTATTTTAAATCATGGTGGTAACAATTTCATTTGACGAACAAAAACTATAACAAGAACTTGTCTTAAAGGGGCAGTGTTGTGTTTTTCAGGCACATACACTGCAAAAACACAATCGTACCAAGATTTTTGTCTTAGTAGTTTGTCTTACTCTTAGTACACTTGAAATAGACAAAACTAACCTCTAAGTAACATTAAAGCAAAAGATTGCATCTTGTTTTGAGTCAACAATTCCTTCATATTGATGAAAAACTACAAGTTCCTGTGGAAGATTAGTTAACTTGTGCCGGAAATTTTTTTTCTATAAGTTGAGAATTTATCTGCCAATTTCACTAGCACTTTCTCATCAATATTAAGGAATTACTGACTCAAAATAAGATTCTACATTTTGCTGAAAAGTTAATTATAAGTTAGTTTTGTCTTATTTCAAGAGTACCAAAATACTAGAAATTAGATCAAAACTAAAGATTTTGTATTTTTGAAATGTCTGTTATAAAAATGCTGCACGTATCAAATATGACTTCAGAGAAATTTTACTTCCTTATTTGTGCTGTAAGACCTTCCAATTGTGTCTTTGCCTCTTTACAAACTCCTGCTTTTTCTGGACCTCCGACTTCAGGAAGTCATCCCAACATGACTTCCTGAAGTCATGTTGGGATGTTAGCCAACATGGCTAACATCCTCCGTTAGCCATGTTGGGATGTGTTAGCCATCACAACATCACCATGTTTTCACCAGCATTGCTCTGAGAAGTGGCTCCTATAATGACCTCAACAGTTCCACCAGGTGTTTGCTAACTGCTGCTGGCTAGTCTGAAGGAGCAGAGGAAGGGGGTGGGGAGAAGCAGCATCTCAAGGGCGGAGCTAAGTCCACCTGGGCTCTTTGCACCGCTGAATGGTTGCCTTAGAGATTAAAGGATTTCTCAAACATGCCTGAAAGATTCAAGGCAACACTCCAGGTTTATTGGTGAGGGAATAACATTAGAACATGACGAAAAGCTAAAACAAAGTCTATTTTAAATATTTTAAGTCTTTCATGTTTCCAAATGAATTTTAAAAACTTATTTGTATGTCTTTTTTTTTTGTCCTTCTTTTGTAATTCTGGTTATTATGTTATTCTGACTATATCCTTTCACACTAGCGGTGGTGTTAGCATAGCATACCGTCAGGCGGTGCGCACTCTGCATGGAATCCAATTCTGCTGATCATCTCACAGAACTGAGCAGGGACGCGTTGGAACATCGTTTTAGTTAAGGAGCAACGAAGCTGCTTCTTCTTCCGGTTGAACATTTCCTCCAGAGCATCATTCTCCACTTTGTCCACCTAAACATAAAATACTTCACTGTGAATCTGCAGTGCTCTCAGTTTACTTCATAAACAATTGTCCTAAAATGTCTGATAAATCTCTATAATATCTCCAGATGGTTTTATGTACTGTACCTTTTCTACCCACAGATTAGCTTTGAAAGGCTTTATTCGCTCTGAAAATTCCTTGCTTTTTTGATCAACTGTTTTCTTCTCTCCAGAAACTTTCATGTCTGTCAGCATCCTCAGCTGATGTTCTTCTTCTGCTATAAAATCTTTGTGGATTTTGCAGAGCAAGGCCTCCACCTGGAGGGCGGCAATGATGGCGTTTTCCTCCAGTTTTCCCTTTATTGTTAGACATGCATGACCCTGTGAGAAAAACTCCTCAATGCGCAACCCACTATCAGCTAAATGGGCCAGAATCCGGTGGTCTCCCTCACTAAAGTGTGAGATGAAGTTGTTGTTAATCTCGATGGGCTTATGCTTAAAGAGGTCAGTTAACCACTTCTTAGCCTCGTGTTTTGATTCATCGGAGGGACCAAGCAGGATGATCTTTGGGGTTGAACCTCTTGTGGTGTGGAAGTCTTCTGGCCCAGATGCTGATGAACAAGTTATAAACACAAAAAAAGATAATTTATGAGTACTTTAGATGCATTATCTTGATCAGGAAATCATAACTCTTGTGCAGCTTAGATGGATTTTAAAGGAAAACATCACAACAAATTACTTTAAATGGGATCCATTATGTAAAATTCACATTTTGTATATTTTTGTATTTCCTTTTCAGTCTCAACTGCTTCTAAATGCAAACCAAAGTAAAAAAAACAAACACCCAGCTGTCTTTTTGGCAATAAGTTAGTATTTTTTGGAGAATATAACATCACAAATCGGCAGAGTTCTCCCCCCTTACCTAGCAACCCCAGCTGAGCCCCAGCATGTTTGGTCAGCTCATTTTACCGCTGTATGCCCTCTACAATGGCTGCTGGAAAAGCCAAGTGTTTTGTTATTGACTTGCCATCCAGAAACCACTTGCTGCATTGTTGCTGGTTATGCAGGAGGCTCTACTAGTGCTTTTCAAAGCTGTAAGCCTGTATAACTGCACGTGTGTTTGCAGCCATTTTCATGTGCGAATGTAAATATTGAGTTGGGGGGCCGGGGAGGTAGCAGCAGATTATTAGGATTTAAAGTGACAAGATACCATAAAGCAACTAAAATCTCATTATCTAAGAATCAGACATGTTTTGTACAAACCAGGAATCTATCCTAACCTGTTCAAGGAAGCATGTTAGGTGACCTTGAAACACATCAGTTAAAAAGATGAATTCAGGCTTCACAATAATAAGCTTTTAAACTTATTCCAGTAGTATTTTCTGTATTGAGATTTAAGATGCAACGTTTCTGAAGGTGGAGCTGACACTGAAGTCTCACCAGATGTTGGTAATAACCCATCAAGTCCACACAATATCAAAACACAGATGTCAAGAAATTGATTTATGTAAAATAGTAAATTTAGTTACCTGTTGCCAACATGAAGTTTGATACTCTTTCCAGAAGAGCTTTTATTTCAGCTTCAAAAGCCTAGAAAAAAATTGTTTTTTTATGTTATTTACAATTAATTCACACAGAAGACGGCTTTGTGATTTAAGGTGAAAGTGTGAGATTTTTTTAAAGCAAGAGAACCATCTTCCAAATGATTATCTGTACTGTGACATTTCTGAAACGTTTTATGCAACAGTAAATGCATTATATTGATATCATTCAGATGAAGTTTTATAAAAATACCTGGTATGTATCATGATCTGATGGAAAAATTACAAAGTAAACGTCCAGCTTGCTCCGACTCCGTTCAGCAAATTCAGCTACAGTTTTTGACATAACGGAGGCAGAATCGTTTTTAGAGAATCCGAGATTTCCGGTGCCGATTGCAGGAAAGGAGATTGAGTGGTGTTGTTTTATTGTGGCTTCTACTAAACACTCAAACACCGAATCGTGGAGTAACTGTAATATAGGGATACAAAGACAGGAACTCAAATCAAAGCAGAAAAAGAGATTTGTATTTTGAGTCAAATACCAAGAAATGAAAGACGTACCTGTTGAGATGCTACGGATCCTGCAGAAGTCCTGCTCTTTTCAGTGCAAATCGCATGATACACCTCTTTGCACTTCAGCCTATAACTTTTTGTGCAGTAGATATTACCCTTCTTAACAGCTTTGGCCATTTCTTTTTGGATTTCATAGCCAGCTTTGTGCAATATTGCTTTGGAAATTTGACCTTGGTTCAGTTCCCGATCGTCCGATGCAGTGTTTACAATGACATCTGTCTAAAGAAACAAAGAACAAAGACAGGAGTGAATTTAATTCAGACCACCATAAACTTTGTGGCAGTTTCAATAATTAAGTGTTTAAGGGGCAGTATTATGTGTTTTGAAGGCACATTGTGACATTTTGTAGCACAATTAATTAACAATTTATATCTTTGTTTGTTATAAAAATGCTCTATCAGATATGACTTAAAATAAATTTTACTTTCTGATTTAACACTTTGAAATTGGGTGTCTAGCTGTGCCCTAATTCAGGGGCTGCATCCTTGCGAAGAAATGAAGACCGGAAGAGAAAAGCAGTGAAGTCGGACAGGTCAACTGTCCCCGCCCCCACCTTAGCATACCTTATGTTGCCTAGCAACCGTGACAACGTGAAGCAGAGAGCGGCGGAGAAAAAAACCAAAACAAACAAACAACGGAGCCAAAGTTTGTTTTTCAGTCATATTACTCTTGATTTCTGTATTATTCTTCCTCTTGATAGTAAATCCTGTTCCATAGTAAATCTGTTTGATTCTAAAATGTTCAAACATGTATTGCACATTTCTACCAGGAATGAATATAAGCAAATTGCTCTGAAAAGTAGCTCGTATCCTGAACTCAGCTTGTTTGCTAATTGCTTCTACTAGTCTGAAGGAGCAGAGTCGTGAGGAAGAGCGGCTCTGTGAGGCAGAAACTTGGAAACAAGGAGGAGCTGTGAATCGAAGGCGGGGCTAGGTCCACCCAGGCATTTCTCACAGCTGAATGTTTGCCATGAAGAGTAAAAGATTTCTCAAAAATGCATGACAGAATCAATCCTTTGAAAGCCTTGACCCTTTGTTTTAGATAAAAAAATAAAATAAAGGCATTATAACATGATGTAAAGCTGAAAAAAGTTGATTTTACACAATCCTGCCTCTTTAAGTAATTGAAACTCTACTTGACATTATTGAACATAAATATTTTTAAATTAATGCTTACGTTTTGTTCTTCAATTTTTCCCTTCTTCAGAGTCAGAAGGACATTACCGATCTTGACTGAAGGCTGTGGGGCGTTTCCGGTGCTTCGGGTGTTTTGTGCTGCAGCACTGCTGTAAGTTTGCGTCTGGTGAGGACTGAATATCCGATTGCATGCTCTCTCCATTTCCCGCACTGTGGGCTCATCGTGGTTGGCAAGGAAGATTTCTTTGGGACGATGGTTCTGGCGAGTCAGATTGTCGCAGAAGGTTTTTATAGTTGACACTATGGTGTCGGCACATTCTGCCAGTGGGTAGTTGAACAACCCGGAGCTTATAGCAGGAATGGCAACAGTCGCCAGACGGAATTCATCAACTTTATAGAGAATATTCCAGATGGCTTTCTGTAGCAAATCTGTAGCTTTGTGCATATCATGTTGGGAAGGACTTGACGACAGATATGGACCCACAGCATGAATTATCGTTTTGCATGGCAGTGACCCTGGACCCAGAGCAACTGCCTCCCCGGTTTTTAATTTACCATTCTTTTTAATATAATCATCAGACTCCTTTTGGATTTGAGGACCACCAGCTTTAGACAGAGCCATAGCAAGGCCTCCAAAATGGTGTAAATCTTCATTAGCTGCATTCACAACAGCATCAGCATGGAAATTGGTGAGATCAGCCTTCCACACAGAAACCTTTACACCTGAACGCGTCATGAACTCTTTTCTTTTCTCTGGCTTAATGGTTGCAGGTCTCTGGTGTGAAGTCCTGCTCTCGTTCTCCACACCCTCGACGGTGGCCACACATCCGAATTTACTGTTGATGATGTCACACAGATCGGTTGGACATCTTCTCACAATGCTGAGTGACGCCTCATGTAGAGGAATGTCCAGTTTACTGGCCATCGTTTCTTAGCAAACCTGTGGAAAGATCATACGCAACACCATGAAGACTCAATTAAATGAGATTTATGAAGATCTTTGCAGGAGATGTTGATCTATTTTCTGATATTAAATCAAGTTTCTGATTATTGACCCTCTACACTCGCCAAAAAGGTTTTGGGTTTGTGCCAAAGACACCATATTTCTGCAAATAGTGTTATTTCATGACGTTTTTATAAAATCACATACACTGGCTCTTTATGGAGTGGTTAAAAACTAACCTAAATAGTAAATGTCCAGTATCTGCTGACATATCAACTGATACTTTGAATTATCCTTTGGTACCAACATTACCAAACGATAATATTGGTTTAAAATAATCACAAGAAATTGTTACAGTAAGAGAAATAAATTAGTTTAATATTTTGTTCTATTTGTGAGTTATGTGAGCTGTAATAGTTAAAGTAGATAATATATCAAACTGCAACTTTTGTTCATCATAAAAACAATGAAACCCACAACAGGAGACAAAGGAGAACAGTTTGAATTGAAAACATTCATGATGATGCAAGCTGCATCATTTGCTTCCCTCTAAGGATCAAGAAAGATTTTACAAAATGTAATTTTTCAGATTAAAATGTTGGCTTTTTATTGTTTGCTTCAGGTCTAAAATGATCATTCTTGGGCACAATAATACATTCTCATGACTTTAGTAACGAAACTTAAATGTCATTTTAATTTAGTCCAGCAGAGGGAGACAGATGACTGAAATAAAAGATCTTCAGATCAAATAATCATTAACTTGGTTTCACACAGCCAGAACAGAAACACCTATAAAGTAATCATGCTGGTTTCTAGTTTAATTGTTACATTTAATATTTGCATGTTTACGCAAATCTGCAGGCAAATGCATCAAAACTGAATCTTAACAAGTTGACCAAACAGACATCAACTCAATGCTCTCAGGTTCGTGTCGCCATTTTCCCGATCATCGCGTCTCTGTCAGTGAGAACAAACCTTATGATCTAAATGCGAATTATGAACGACTAAACATGTTAATGTTGAATAAACTCAAGGCGTTAATCATAAAAGAAACTTTGGTTTAAAAGAGAAGAAGAGGCGAGTCGCTCACCTGCCTGGCGGAAAGTCCCGAGTGACAAACTGAAAGTAAACTGGGTGTGGACCAGTTCTAACTGGTTCCACTGGTTAATAAGTCTCCAAACTAAAGGCAGAAAACATGTCGCTCTTCCTGCCGCGACTCCCTCTGCGCCAATCCCGCAAAGCCCCGCAGCTGCGTCAGTAAGAAGTCCGCCTCCCGCCGTTTCACCAGAAACAAAACCGAAAGTTTTCAGTCCGGTCAGAAAGGAGAGGAGCCAGCGCCATGGCGGGGGAATACGCCTTCCCTGTCCTAGTGGAGCTGGAAGACAGCAACACACCGAGGCTGAAAAATAAACTGGTGAAATATTTCCAGAGTAAAAAGTCCGGCGGAGGAGACTGCGAGGTGGACTATGAGCCCGGGAGACAAACTGCGCTGCTGCGCTTCCGCAGAGAGGAGGGTGAGTCCAGACTGTCAGATCAATGACCAGTCCTGAGTAAAAACCTGCTGGACTGAACCTGGTCTCTCCCTCAGACCAGAAAAATGTCCTGAGCAAAGAGAGACACCAGATCAGTTTGGGTGAAGGAGTGTTAAAGATGACAGTGCGCCTTCCTGCAGAGGGACGACACAAACAGGTGAGAGTTTAGACTTAAAGAAGTTAACTTACATGCTATGAGTCCTTCTTGTCTTATGATTAATGGAATATTATTAGAATTATTAATGGAAAACTGCTGTAATCTGAGTTACTTCCTGTAATCTCATAAATGCCTGGCAGTGATGTAACTCTCACCTTCAGCTGCTGTAAAAATGTTCATATTTGTCTTTATGGGACAACTGATTTATTTCATGTCTGTTAATCGGTAAACTCATTTCATGTTTACTTTTATGGCTTTTATCATGTCTGATGACGCTGACCTGAGCAGTGCTGGACCTTTGGTCACTTTCTTAGCTTTTTGTTTAAACTCTGAGCTGCTATTGAAGACCTCACCCTGCAGGGCTCTCATTGTTTACTGCAAGTCACATGACTGATCAGAATCCAAGAAGTTTCTGTCTGATTTCATTCCTGCTTTTGTCCTTTTGCTTTCTGTGTTTGAGGATATTTCTTCCTCTTCTAACCAGTTCTTCAATGTGTAATTCATCAGCATTGCCCAACCAAAATGTCTAAAATGTCTTAAATCTGTTTCAAACAGGAGGATTCAGCTGATAAAGACAGCAAAAAGTGTAAGTACCCATGAAGGAAATATCTGCCAATAATGTGACGTTTATTTAATAAAGCGGCTTGCAAAAGTATTCACACCCCTGGAACTTATACATATATACAAAAGTATACATGATTCAAAACATTTTTACAACAAAAAAAAAGCTGAAAAGTGTGGTGTGCAAACCCACCTTCTGATGCAAATCCAGCTGCAAGTCTTAGTGTTTGTCTCTTCCAGCTTCAATCGTCCAGTGACTGAAAGTTTTGCCTGTTCTTTGCCAAACAACTTAAACTCAGTGAGAATAAAAGCGTTTGTGAATAACAGTTTTCAGACTTTGACTGGGCCATTCTGACGGGATGTTTTAAAGCTTCCCATTGTGACCCGTTCCTTTATGTTTGGTTGTCCTGCTGGAAGGTGAATCTCAGCCCCAGTCTCAAGTCTTTTACGGATCCCACAAGTTTTTGTCCGACATTGCCCTGTATTGGCCCCATCCATCAGCATGATGCTGCCACCACCATTTTTGACAGTGGGGACGGTGTGTTCAGAATGATGTGCAGTGATAGTTTTCCATTACATGTAGCGTTTTGCATTTTAACCAAAAAGTTAAATTTGTTCTAGTCTGATCAAAGCTCCGTCTTCCACATTTCCATGAGATGTTCAAAGCTTTAGAAACATTTTTATAGCCTAAACCTGCTTTAAACATCTCCAGAACTTTATTCCAGATCTGATCTCTAACTTTATGATGTTCTCTTAACCAACATCTCAGGCGTTTGAGAGCAGCTGGATCTGTATTGTGCTGTTTTAAGTTTACTGCAGCAGAGGGAGACAGAGATTTTCAAACTACAAGGTTGTGATTGTCTGTTTTTACCACTGCCTCCAAAACAACAGGCTGAATATGGTTGAATATGTTTTACTAATCTGCATTAAATTAGTAAAACATATTTGAAGGAGATTAAAAATAATGATGGGATTTACTTTAAGTTCCACGTTTCGCTTTGTGTACTCAAAAGATGTTTTTGTGATCTAATATAATCTTTCAAACTAAAACACTAATAATGACTAAATAATAATATTAATAATAATAATGACCTTACTATAAATTATTGTGTTTTGACAAAGATGTAAGTATAACCTTGTTTTAAAGGCGTGTCTGCATCAATGCACATAAAATTATTACTAAATCTCTTGAACAAGAATAAGCCTACATATAACAATAAAACCGGTGATTACAAAAAGTTACATAAAAGCTGCTCCCTTGTTGGACAGTAAATGTTTATGGTTGCTTCAAGGTGCTTGCGGCTGGTCATGAGTGATACTTTGAGTTTTGATTGTCAGAAATATTTTCGGTTTTGATTTTAAGCTTCAGAGGTTTAAAATGTTTATAGTGTTTGATGGCAACTATTGTACCACAGCTTTTTGCTAAAATGGGAAGTTTTTTACTCTTCTTGTAAAATAAGTTTTACAGTTATTGTAGACAAAAAGTCATTACCAGACTTGAAAACCTTCTGAGTTGCATGTTTTTATTTTGCTTTTTTATTAGAACTGGAGACTTGGTCAGACTTTCTGGTACTCGACTCTTTGTGCCAATAGTTAAGTTTTCATTGGAGCTGAAAAAAAATCACATGTGGCATTCCCCAAGGTTCCATGTTGGGGTCTCTCCTATTAAATATCAACATGCTGAGATTTTAATAAATAACAAGATAAGTCACCGTAATTATGCAGATGATACACACCCCATGTCACCAGGTAATTATATACCGACTGAAGTGTTGAGAAGATACTTAAAACCAATCAATGTGTGGATGTCCATAACTTCCTTCAGTTAAATAAAAGTACAACTGAAGTAAATATGATATGTCCACATTAAGGTGTTAATTAGATGGACCATCTATTAGAAGCTTTTCTTTAGCTCAAAATAATCTATAGTTTGCTTCTGATTGACTAGTTTCAGTGGTAAGTAAAAAACACGTTACTCATTCATCTTTTATATTTCAATAACAGCGGATCATGAAGGAACCAACAAAGAGTCCAAAGTTCAAGAACCCAAACCTGTGGATGAAGATCAGACCGAGTCAAAAAAGTTCAAGGGGTGTGATGATTCAGACGATGATGAGCAGTGCTCCAAGTCGGCTGTTGTAGGGAATATTCCAGATTCTTTAACCTCAGAATTTCTGGAAATGTTGGTGGAAAACATTTTGAGAGACCTAAGCTCTCCGACTGCCTCCGAGGACTACACCCTGGAACTGATCCCTGACATCTCATCTGCTGTTGTCACTTTCCAGAGTGGAAAAGGTACACACACTCTCAGTTTATACATGTTCAGTAATGTTTAGAACAACTTGAAATTTTGTTTTTATTTTAACTTCACAGATAACACTGAGTTCATAGAACGATGTCCTCAAAATCGGATGTTTACAAAGAAGGGGTTATCAGTCCGACCCCTTGAGACCACAAATAAGGTTGTTGTTGAAGGACTTTCAGACTGCAGTGAAGACATGCTGAGCCTCTACTTTGAGAGTAAAGGGGGAGATGTGGAAGATGTTCAACTGAATGAAGCTGAACAGTCTGCTGTCATCAAATTTAAGAACCATCAAGGTAATTAACCTGCCCTACTTTCTAATTACTGCAGTTCATTCTGATAGTATGCTCTATGTTCAACAGAAGTGACTACCAATTTAGAATTATGCAGTGTAACTTTGTGTTTTAATCAACAGATGTTAAGAAAGTCTTAGGTAAGAAGCATGAAATAAAGAAGGAAGAAGTCAAGGTCTATCCGTTCTACAAATCTTTGGGAGTAGCACTTTATGGGAAAGATAAGCCGTCACCAAAGCTTCCTGCTGCCATCTCTGAGCCCATTGACACCGCTATCCTCAGATACCTAGCTAACCACAAAGCAGCTGTGGAGACCGTTGGCCGTGACTTGGAAAAACATTTCTGCAACATTACCTTGGAACAGTCTGCCATCCGGCTCAGTGCCTCGCCCTCATTGTTGAAGCAAAAAGACGCCAAAGTCATCATCAAAGAGTGGGCTAACACTGTGAAAGCAGCCTTTTCTCAAGCTGTGTCACAATACAAATCCATCAAGTTCTCCCTGGACCCTGAAGTATGGGAGGAGTCTGAAAATAAGATTAAGGAGAAACTGCAGAAGGAAGATGTTGTTGTAGTTTCTGATAAAACCACTGGTATCCTTTCAGTGGCCGGCCTTGAGAATGATGTCAACACACTCAAGAAACCCATATCAGAAGTTCTTGACAGGATCAAGGAAAGGGTCAGAAGAGAGAAACTAAGTAAAACCCAAGAGATCAATGTGTCACCATCGATGTTCCACATCCTTTCTCAAGATGGTCTTCAGGATAAACTCCTGCAAGTGTACCCAGAACTCAAAATGTCATACGACCACGAGAAGAAAGCTCTGAAAGTAACTGGATTTGTGGATGAGATTATTAATGCAACCCAGGTGATAGGCAACGCAACATTAGGATTAAAGCGACAGAATTTAGAAGTGGATGAGTTTTTGCTTGACATGCTGAAGGATGAACAGCAAGAGGAGGCCACCGATGCACTTCTAACAGCCTATGGCATAAAAGCAGCCTTGGAGATCAGTCCACAGAGAGTGCAGCTTGTTGCTGTTTCTGACAAGGATCTGATGAATGCTCAAGATCATCTAAGCCAAACCCTGAAATCTGAATATATAGAAGTTGAAGACCTTGAAGTCCTGAAGAAGCCGGAGTGGCAGCAGCTGGTCCATCAGCAGGAAACAGCAAACGGTGGGTCAGGAATGAGAGTTCAGATCACAACTCATCAACAGCAAGTGGTAGTGTCCGGTCACAAGGACAGTGTGGACAAAGTTAGCAGTGAACTACAGGACTTTATAACAGAAAATGCTCATGTTGAAGAATTTGTTGCTGTTGAAGCAAATGTCATCATCGAGTACCTGAATAGTCAGACTCCCTGGTTGAAGCAACTAGAAGGTGGGGTGGACGTGTCTTTCGGAAAAGAGGAAATCATCCTAAGTGGCTGTAGATCTGCTGTGGAAGGTTGCAAGAGCATAGTCAAAGATCTGCTGTCTTCTGTGTTCTTTGATAGTTTCAAAGTCACAAAACCTGGAGTCAAGAAGTTCTTTAAGGAAAAAGAATCATATTTTGCTTCTTGTATTAAGAATGAAACTGGCTGCCTGGTTCAGCTGGCTGATAAATCGAATGAAGAAGAAGACTTTACCTTTATACAGATGCAACAACCCGTTTACAAAGTCCAGACAAGCGATGGAGTGGAAATAGTGGTCTCCAAGGCAGACATGTGCAGTTACTCTGTGGATGCTGTGGTCAATCCTTCTACTGATGACTTGAAACATACCTCAGGTCTTGCTTTGTCCCTTTCAAAAGCTGCAGGCCCTCAATTACAGGTCATTTGTGACCAAATAATTAATGTAAAGGGAAAACTCCGACCTGGAGACTGTGTCGTAACAGATGCTGGGGGAACGCTTCGTTGCAAAAAAGTGATCCATGCCGTAGGACCCCATTTTGATCAAGCAAAGCCAAAGAGGGCTGAGGCCCAGTTGAAAAGAACTGTTAGAGAAAGCTTAGAACAAGCTGAAAAGTGTGGCTGTGTTTCTGTGGCCCTTCCTGCCATCAGCAGAAATCTCGGCTTCCCACTCAATCTGTGCCTATCTACCATTGCTAGAGCAGTGAAGGATTACTGTGATGAGAAGTACGATGACAACACCCTGAAGACCATTCATCTGGTGGACAATGAGGACAGTGTTGCTCTTGGTCTGGAAAGTGCTGTGAAGCAGGAGTTTGGAAATCATGGAGTTAGTGTTTCGTCTCAAAATGCTATCCCTAAAGTTAGTCAGAAATCTCCATTACACAAGCTTGTTCCACCTGACCCGAGCTTGTGCCGAGGGCAGACCAAAGAGGGCTTGAGCATCGTTCTTAAAAAGGGGAATATTGAGGCTGCCAAGGTAACTATGCATGTTTTTCAATGTTTAATTTAAAGATAAATGGTTTAAAATTTAAATACTCCATCATGTGGACTTCCCTTTGTATAACAGAAAGAGGAAGATAGCTTCTAGCTGTGGGCCCCTAATAAAGCAAATTCCATTACTGATGTGATGCAATGCTATTTGAGAAGACAGAAAACCTTTTTTTTTTTTATGGCAGACCACTGTTAAGTTGTTGGTATTTTTTTTAATTGGCCTCAGGATCCTGTCAGGAATTATTGTTCTTTATGTAAATTCATTCACTTAAGGCAGTGCTTCTCAATTATTTTCCGTTACGCCCCCCCTAGCAAGAAGAAAACTATTCGCGCCCCCCACTCCCCACCGTGACTATCCATCTCTGCATAACATTTTTTCCTTATTAACATTTTTTTCGCTGAAAAAACTCTAGCGGCTTATCGGCGTGATTGGGATGTAACATATTTAAGTGACGCGCTAATTTATTTGGCTTCATGCTGTCCGCTGCGAGCATTTTTAGACACAGCAAACACACCGGTCTTTCCTCTTCTCCAACTGTAGTCACAGTGAAGCCAAGCTAAATACGCTTCGTCGTATTTCCTCTTCTTAGCTTTCGGTTGACTTTCTGTTGTCTCATTATCTTTGTCTCTCTCCGCTTTTCTTTTCATCCCTGTGAAAAACTTTTTCATGTTGGGGGTTGTTGAATAACGGAGGCCAGAGACAGAACGCAGTCGGAGCTTTTTGTTGACTTAACACTGCTAACCAAGGCAAACCTGTTGTCTGGTAAGTCGTAAAATGTTGCACTGTCGCAAACGTGACAGAAGTAACAATGAGAGCGCCACTGCTGCCTACTGTGCGCAATTATACTTTATACTAGTACGCCAAAAAAAAGCCTGTTCCCCAGGATCACACGCCCCCCCAGGTATCGCACCGCGCCCCCCAAAGGGGGCCCGCCCCACTATTTGAGAAGCACTGACTTAAGGTCTCTATATTGTTAAAAAGTATAAGAGCCTCACAGAATGCTACTCAATTTGTTTTTCTTGCTTTACAAAATTCAGACCAAAGGAAATAGATATGTGAGGATAGAAATATTTTCTTGACTTATGTCTTTACCACTTATTATTGAATTTTTTTTCCCATACAAAATATTGTGAAGTTACATGTCTTTAAATGTAGTCTACCCTATTTTCAGACAGAGGTAATTGTGAACACTGTGGCAGAAGATCTTATATTGAACAAAGGGGCGATTTCAAATGCCATCTTCAGTGCGGCTGGAGTCAAACTTCAACAGCTGGTACACAGTCAGAAAACCAGTGGATCACCAGGTGAGATTGTTGTTACAGACGGCTGCAAGCTGAAGAGCAAACAAGTTTTCCATGCAATCGCTCCAAGCTGGGATAAAGGCCAGGGGACCGCTGAAAAGGTACAATATTTTCTTTCGGAATAGAGCATTTTAAATGTCTTTTTAAATTACAGAAACTACCATATAATCTGGGTTATACTTTGTCTTTCAGACCCTATCTGGGATCTTTAAAGATTGCTTGGACTTGGCGGAGAAAGCTCGGTTGTCATCTATATCTTTCCCAGCTGTTGGCACCGGAAACTTGGGTTTTCCAAAAAATCTTGTTGCCACTTTGATGCTGGATAAATTCTTAGAATTCAGCAGCCAGAGACAATCCAAGCATATAAAGAAGATTACAGTTGTTCTTTTTCCTGGAGATACACAGACTATTCAGGTAACAAAAAAATAAGAATCAATGTTATGTTAGATTATTCAGCACCAGCTTAGAATTTATTGAACAACATTATCAGGTGGTAAAGCTGTTCATGTTGTTTTACCAACAGTTTTTTTTTTTTTTTTTGCTTCTGGACTTGCCTTATTCCACTTGCAAGTGTTTCTTGGAAACTTGTTAAATATACAAGGTAAAGTACATATCAAATTTATTTTGCAGGTATTCACGAATGAATTTAAGAAGAAGTTTCCCAGTGCCACGGGTCCTTCAGCTACAGGTCCAGCGTCTGCAGATTCTTCACAAACCACAGGTAGGTAATTTTTTTTTCCAGTTTCATTTCAGTTTACGTAACACAAAACTTGAGTATTTGTATAAGTTCATTGTTAAATTTGTGTGGTTTATGTCTACCAGCAGGCAAATTCTCTAAAGTTGTCTCCAGTTCAGGAATGTATGAGACTAAACTGGGAAATGTGACGATTCAGGCAGTAGCTGGGGATATAACTAAAGAAACTACTGATGTCATCGTCAACTCTTCAAATGATAGTTTCACTCTCCAGTCAGGTGAATCACTTTCTATTTGATATATGGGACAGGGTTTCCCCCAGTGTATTATAAGCTTGGTGAGCCATTAGGCTTTACTAGCCCACCAACAAGGCTAAGCGTTGTTTATTTTACATGGGATTTTTTATATACCGGTATCAGTAAAGATGGATTAAGGTAGCTGAAGCATTGAATTGGATGCGGGGGTTGCCCACCAATTGACCTCAATGCCCATTGACCTCACATGCTATTATTTTCAAATTGTGATATCTGTTCATGCACTGCCATATTTTTGTAACTTTTAACATTTTTTAACACAAAGCAAAGTGGGCTGCTCGTGGGCTAGGCTTAGCAGGTTTTCTGTGGCAAATCTTGTGGCATGCAAAATGTGAATGATCAGAATGTATGGAAACTTTAAGCTGTTTAATTAATATAGACTTATTGGTAGAAATACATGTTTAGAATAGTCAAACAAGTTAATAATCAATGTACCTTCAAGTCTAGTTGCACTTACTAATTTAGAAGATTAAATGAAGATAAACATTGGTTGACAGCATCTAACCTTTCACTTAATTTAACCTCATAGGAGTATCAAAGGCAATCCTGGATGCAGCTGGTGTAGCTGTTTTAGAAGAATGCCAATATCTTGGTAAGAATATTAACTTTTGGTTTGTTATAACATTCATTCTTAGTTTATGGTTAATTTAGTTCTATAACTAGGTTGTGATTCTGATTAAAATGCCCCTCCAGGTTCCCAGCCCAATCAAGGCATGATAATGACAGTACCAGGAAACCTAAAGTGCAAAAAGATTCTTCACCTTGTCGGACAGACGGACCCAGTGAAAATCCACAGGACTGTAAAGGAAGCACTGCAAATGTGTGTGAAGAGTTCCTACACTTCTGTTTCGTTTCCTGCCATTGGTACAGGTGAGATTTACTAACAGATTCCACAAATGTGCTAATTTCAAAAGGTTTTTCTGCCAAAATGAGCTCATATCATGTTGCCTGCATGCATAGATCCTGCTTATTGCACTGCTAGTATTTAAATTCAACATAACTATGATTTTGAAGATATGGAGTTATTCAAGCTATCAATACAAGAATTTTCTGTTACACTGAAATTGATCATTTTTATGATTTAGAATAAAACAAATTAAACAATCTTATTGCCCAGAGCTCCTTATGCTTCAGAGGTTCTGAAGTTGTGCTAGCTTACACAACTCTGCAATATTGCAAGGACATTAGGGGCAGTTTCACTGGATTGGCTGACCATGGTGGTGGTCCTTCTATTCAAAAAGGGGGTGGCCGGAGGGAGTGCTCCAATTAGAGGGGTCATGCTTTTTGCCTCCCTAGCAAGGTCTATTAGGGGGTTCTGGAGAGGAGAATCTGTCTGTTATACCTTGGATTCAGGTAGAATGCACTGGACCAGCTCTATCCCCTCAGGAGGGTGCATAGGAGTTTTCCTCATCACTCTACTTGTGCTTTGTGAAACTGGAGAAGGCTTTTGGCTGTGTCCCTCAAGGAACCCTATGAAGGGAATTCCAGGAGTATGGGCTACCAGGCTCTTTGATACAGGCTGTTAGGTCTTTGACCGGTGTCTTACTGCCTGCTTTGCAGGACTGTTTTGCAGGCAGTAAGCCGGGCTTGTTTTTAGTGAGAGTTGGACTCTGCCAAGGTTGCACTTTGTCACCAATTTTGTTCATTACTTTTATGGATAGAATATGTAGACACAGCCAAGCTATTGAGGGGATCTGTTTTGTGGCCTAAGAATCGCGTCTCTAATTTTTGTGGTCCTATTGGTTTTATCAGGTTATGATCTACAGTTTTCACAGGAGCAATTCCCGGCTGAGTGTGAAGCGGATCAGATCAGGGCCTCCAAATCTGAGGCCATGGTCTTGAGCTGGAAAAAAGTAGAGTCCCTTCTCTGGGTCAGGGAAGAAGTCCTACCCCAAGTGGAGGGGTTCAAGTGTCTTTGGGTGTTGTTCATAAAATGAGGCAAACATGGAACATGAGATCATAGTAGGTGGATTTGTGCTGCGTCTACAGTGAAGCAAGCATTGTAACGGTGTGTCATGGTGAGAGAGCTTAGACAAAAGGTGAAGCTCTCAATGTTCCTACCATCTTCTATGGTCATGAACCTTGGGTAAAGACTAGAATAGAACTTTTTGAGTTTGCATATTTGAACCATCAATCACTTGTGTTGTCCCTGTCCAGGTCAAGGCAATGTACAGGCAAAACAGGTGGCAGACACCATGTTGGATGCTGCTATTGACATTTTGAGCCAAAACACCTCCAGCTCACTGACTTTAATCAGGATAGTAATTTTCCAACAACCGATGCTAAAAGATTTCCACAACAGCATGCAAGAAAGGGAAGCCATTGAACCAAAGGACAAAACTGGATTCTGGTCAAACATTGGCCACAAGATAAAATGTAAGTATGGAGAGAATAATAGTTTCTGTCACCATAATAATCATCAGTCATTTTATTTCAAATTCTAATTATATTTTTTGTTTTTCCTCTAGCAATATTTGTATCTGAAAATGCTGAAAAAAAACAAGAAGGCGAGACGTTTGATATTGAGACTGTCAAAGTGGAGCCTGCTTTCTTCCATATCTGCGGTGCCTCACAGTCCAAAGTAGATGCAGCCAAGAAGAAGATAAATTACCTGATATCTGAGGAACAATTCAGCACAGAGATAACAGACAACGACATCTTGAACTTGTCTTCTGCAGACTGTCAGCGCATTGTTGACATCCAGATGAAGATGAGTGTGAGCATCAAAAATCAAATCGTCAATGGCCAAGCCTCTTTCATCATTGAAGGTCTCAGTAAAGATGTTCTTCGAGCCAATCGGGAGATAGATAATATGCTGAAGAAAGTGAGAGGAGAGCAGGAGCTGAAAAGGAAATTGGAGCTGGCTGCCACTGTGGTAGACTGGCAATATCAACGACCTGGGCTTCAATATCAGAGTTTTGATCAGAAGACCAACTATGCGCTTGAGCATGCCTTGGAGATGGAAGTACCCACTCTAAAAATAACCATCCATGGCTCAGACTATACAGTCCAGATGCCTAAAGGACCAGCCACTGACAGCAAGGGAAATGTCATGCAGATAAAACGAATTGACAAACTACAAGGTATTTCAGCCACATATTGGGTTTTGTTTTACATAAGCCAATATGTCTCCAAAAAAGTCTTACTTGATGTTACTGAGGTTTTTTCTGCTACTTCTAAAAGTTTATTTCCAAAAGTGTTGAAAGAAAAAGAACATTGTTTTTTCTTTCTCCATAGGTGACGATATTCCTGAGTTTTGGGATCTCATGCCAGCTGGTAAAACATGTCATGCTGTCCCAGTCCAGGCTACATCATCAGAGTACAAAGACGTCCTCAAACTATTCAATGCCACATGTCCTCGAGCTGTCACTAAGGTAATATTATTAGTACTATTATTGATTTTTTATTTTTATTTTTTTATGATATGTTGTCCTTCAGCATTCCAAGCACACCGCATAAAAAGCTATGGTCTACACATGCAAGGGACATTTAGGGATGGTGTGTGTGCTAATTTTTCACCTGGAATTGATAAGTTATAATTTTGAGAAGAGAATAAACTCAGTACCCAGACTTCAAACCCAAGAACAGCAGAAATAGGTAGCTTTGGCACCTGGATGCTTTAGCAACCCCTGGCAGGTTGCCATTTGGCATCTCCCCATTGCAACTATATGCTCACCATGAAGGTAGGCCAACAGCAAAGCACAGAAACCACAGCTCCCATGCCTAGAGAGGAACAGAGAGAGATGCAGAGCACAGAGGACTCCCTACCAAAACCAGAACAGGGGAGGACTCAGTCGTTATGAGTCTTCCCCATCTCAACCAAAAGCCCTTTGTGTATTAAATGCATTAAAATTTGGGTGCAAGACAGGCCCCCTCAAAGGGAGTATTGTCATTCTGTCATCATTTGGACCTTCAATAAATTGTTTCTTTAAATAAACATTATTTGTACATTCACCAAAAGAGACAAGGTAATCCACAATTACAACAACAAAAAACTTGGATAATGTTCTAAAAACATGCACTATGCCCTTAGATTGAGAGGATCCAGAACCCGGCACTATGGAAAAGTCTTCAGATCAAAAAACAAGAGATGGAGGTGAGAAATAATCATCAGAACAATGAGAAACTTCTCTTCCATGGCACCAGTGAAACCACCATCCCCATTATCAATGAATCTGGCTTCAACAGAAGCTACGCAGGAAAAAATGGTGAGACTTTCAGCAATTTCTTTGTCTTTAGGGCGATGACATCAGAATCAGCAATGTTTAACCAAAAACTTCCCTGTAGTTTCATTATGGGTTTTGAAACTAAATTGAGTTTTAAGAGAAGCATTGCAGTGCGATAGCCCAAAGACTGCAGATATTCCTACAAGGAAAAGCCTAAGTAAATGTGGTGTAACTCAAGACCTTCATGCAGTGCTAGGCTTGCCTATTTATTTACAGTGTACATAATTGTTTGATTTTGAAGGGAAAAAAAGTCATGCTTGTACCTTCTGTAGCTATGCCAGAAATTTCACACGTACTGATCTGTTTTCAGCTACCTGTTATGGCAAAGGTTCCTACTTTGCTGTCAATGCCAGTTACTCTGCCCATGACACGTACTCCAGGCCCAACGCGAATGGAGAGAAGTTCATGTACGTCTGCAGAGTGCTGACAGGAGACCACGCCCAGGGACAGCAAAACATGATCGCTCCACCTTCCAAAGGAGGCTCAGGCGTTTTCCTGTATGACAGTGTGGTGGACAACATGACCACCCCCAGCATGTTTATAGTGTTTCATGACACCCAAGCCTATCCTGAGTATCTGATCACCTTCAAGTAGCAACACCCAGAAAATGTTAAATACAAATGCATCATCTAATAACCAAATAAAAACTGATTTTCTTCCTGAAATACTTATTTTAACTCACTTTTAGTTCACTTATTTAGTAGTTTGTGTTCTGGCCTATTTAGTGCCTTCAGGTGATGCCTTAATGTTTCATAAAAGTTTGAAATCAGTAAACAATAAAATTAAGAACTTTCCAAACATGTTGTTTGCTACTAACTGTTTACACAAAGATTCTTAACATGGACCTGCTGTTTGGAAAACAGAAGCTTAAAATTGTAGAAGTTTAATGTTACTCATTTCTAAATTGAAAAATGAAAATAAACCTTAATGACTGTTTACAGTAAAACTCAAGAATGAACAAGCACAGGTGATTTCACTGTTCACTTGTCTTCTACACTTGGAAGTAATAAAGCGTTCTTGAACACATGTCCTGAGAAATGATTTTGTTAATCCCTGCTGACATAAAACAGTCTGTTTTACTGCCTTTTTAAAAGTGTGTCTCCTTTTTCTACATCAATCAATCAAACAAATTTTATTTGTATTGCACCTTTCAGCAAAAGCCATTCCAAAGTGCTTTATGTCATAAAAACACAAAAATACAAGTCATAGAACACATGGTCAAAAGATTACTTTTTGCACATCAGATTATTGATTAATGTTTTGTGATTAGGCTTCAAAACAAACTAAACAGGTGGGCTTTTAGTCTAGATTTGAAGGATGTCAGCATTCCAGCTGTTTTCCAGTTTTCTAGAAGTTTGTTTCCAGATTTGTGGTGCATAAAATGTTGCTTCTCCTCGTTTGGTTCTGGTTCTGGAGATACAAAGCAGATCAGAACCAAAGACCTGAGAGGTCTGTAAAGCTGATACAACAACAGCAGATATTTAATGTATTCCGGTGCTAATCCGTTCAGTAATTCATAAATAGTATTTTAAAGTCTATTCTCTGAGCTACACGGAGCCAGTGCAGGGATTTTAAAACTGGGGTGATGTGCTCTAACTTCTTGGTTTTAGTGAGAACGCGAGTAGCAGCGTTCTGGGTCACCTGCAGTTGTCTGATTTCTTTAGGCAGGCTTGTGAAGACACTGTTGCAGTATAAAAACTGACTATAAACGGATGAGTTTCTCTAGATCTTGCTGAGGCATTAGTTCTCTAATCCTAGAAATGTTCTTCAGGTGATAGAAAAACGACTTCGTAACTGTCTTTATGTGGCTCTCAAGGAGATAAGCATTATATCTGTAAAGTCTTTGGCTTTTATTCCTCTATAAAATCCTCTTTCATCTTTTGTGTGTTGCTGATTGGCCGACCCAAACATTTGTGTCTTCTACAACAACACATTATTGACAGATTTAAAGTCAACTGCAAAGATACCCGCCCAAAGGGTATCTTTGGGAGAGATGCAAGGATCCACTGCTCAGTGTTGCATTTGATAAATTTCTTTAGCAGGGAAGGGAAGCTGGTTAAAGTTTAAGCATAAATGCCATTTTGCATTTATTTTTTATTATTTACACCTTAAAAACAGTGATATTTATGTGAATATTTATTTTATTTAATTTTCAAACTCTTTTTTTTTTCCCAGAAAAGAGTTTCAATGAGAGTTTGTTGGTTTTAACTGCTCTGGAAATCTGTGATTCAGCATCAGCTTCAGTTTTAAAGCGCTACTAAAATAATGCTTCTTTGGCTCTAACTTCAGGACACATTTTGTTATTGCAGAAATACTTCACTGCATGAATTTTGTATTTTATTTTGCACCAAATCGTCAAAACAGTTGTGGAAACTCTCACGAGGACAAACCAGTAGATGGCGCTAAGAAAACATTTTCTATTGGGAAGGGTTTATTTTGTTGTTTAACTCACTGGGGATTATGATCTGCACAGTATTCATTGTATTCTTTATTATACTGATTGTAGCATTTATTTGCGGTCATATGTGGGTTTTGGGATGACCAATCTAAAGTTTTGATTATTTACATTTTCACAGACAACATTACAATATTTGAGTTGTGTTGTCAAAATTAAAAGTATACTATTTGGAAGATATTTTAATCAGAAGATAATTTTCTCACGTTTGTTTATTTTAAGGTTTTTGATTAAGCATCAGGTCCAGTTTAGAAGCGCAAAATGGTTTTCCTTGAAAACCTGTTAAACCTACAGCAATGTTGCTCAAAGAAGACACTTGTGGCTATGTTTTGATACACAAATTATTTCTGTAGAGTGAATGAACAGCAGCATTTTGCTTATGAAAAAGCATCAAACTTGGAAATTCATCAGTTACTAAACTGCCTTGTGTCTATTGAACAATATTATACTGTAAAACTGAAAACATGAAAAATGTTGAATAAATCTTAAATTACAATTTTATAAAAACTGTAGCAGCAAAAAGGTTAATTATTTGCAGATAGCCTAAAAACTTGTGACATGTTCAAAGTTAGTATGGAGTTTCGAGCTTAATGTAGGCAGAAGTAGTTAAACTTCAAAGAGCAATACTGCAGATTGTTTACATTTTCAATGCATTTCAATGGAGCAAAAATTGCCACAAAAAGCTTCATATTTTAAAAGTGTAAAGAGTATTCAAACCAAAAGTCACAGTCATAATGTCCTTAATGAGATGAATGTTTCTGACGGCTGAAATAGCACAAAGTAAGCAAATGTAGACAGGACAGATAAAAATAATAATAGAGAAACTGGAAGACAATTATCCTTGTTTGGCTCCACCTGCAGGCCACATTTTGTTATTGCAGAAATCCTTCACTGGATTATTTCTGTTTCATTTTGCAATAAATCCTCCCAAGGCTTCCACTAACATCCACGTCAACACAGTTTCGTTCCTAGTAAAGTTTTGTATAACTTCTGAGTTAATGAGGTTTGTTGGGTTTCCATTGTTTTTAACGGGAATCCGGTTTTTCCAGGTGTGTCGCTGCGCAGGTGTGTCTCCACCTCGCTGTTCGTCAGTTAAAATCACGGAAGTTTTGAGGCAGAGGGAGGTTTTCCTGCAGAGTGAGGCAAAGCTTCATGCTGTCATCCAGACTCCGAACCTGAACGCTTTCTGAGCGGATCTTTCTGGTGAAATGGCATCGGCCGCGCAGACGCAGCCAGGCGGCACGGAGAGCCTGACGCCGTCCGCTGTCAACCACATTCTGATGGAGTTCCTGATTTACTTCGGCCGAGCCGTGCTGGTCTTCTACCCGGTGTACCTGACCGGGTACCTGGGCCTCAGCATCAGCTGGATCCTGCTCTGCATGCTCATGTTCACTTGGTGGCAGAAGAACCGGCGGTGGAAGGACGTCCGGATCGATTCTGCGATCGATTTGGTGGATAACGAGGCGCATATAATCAGCAGCGAGCTGAAGAACTCCTTACAGATGGCTTCATGGGTGAGGAGGAAACTCATTTTCATAACTTTAGAGCTTTAATGTCAGCAGATGGTCCAACTTTCCAAGCTGGGAGCAAAATTCTTGACATTCTGCATGTCTGGAATTGTGTTTTTTACTAATTTAATGCAGTTAAAAACAAAACAAACAACACAAGTTCAGGACTCCATGAATGTTGTTTTTGTTCTTTATTTGCATGACCAACCAGGAGCCTGACCCACTGATTGGTGCTCCGGTTGGTTGCAGGAGTTTTACCTCTGCACATTTAACTGCACCACACCCAGAAACGCAGTGACTCATGTAACTGGAGAAGAACAAAAACTTGTTTCACTGCTGGAGGAATGTGTGTGATCACATTCTGGGCTTTATCAGCGGATTGTAGCAAAGTGCTTATGGTTTTGAAGTCAAAACACAGTATCCACCTGCAGAGCACAGTTTGTTTCTGACACTAAGATACAGAGCAGGATGAGCGCCACTGGAAAAACAATGAAATCTGACGTTTCCTCCAAATTCTGCTGCAGCATATTGGAGCCGCTGTAGATAGAAAAAAGCCGTACATTTCTGCCACCAAATCAGAAATGTTTAGATTCATATCAGGGATGAATCTTCGAGAAAAACACAGAAATTTCTGAGTTTCAAAAGTTGAGAATTTGCAAGTTAAACAAATAAGAAATTTTTAGATTAATCTCTAGAAAAAATTTAGAAATTTCTGAGCTCCAAAAGTCAAAATATTGCAAGAAAAGCAAATCAAAAAATTAGAAATTAAACTCAGAAATTTTCCAGAAAAAAACATGGAAAGGTTCAAAAGCTGAAACTCAGAATCTGACTTTTGAAACTCTGAAATTTCCAAATCTTTCCAGAAAATTTCTGAGATTAATTAAAGCATTTCAAAGGTTTTTTCCCCACAAATCTAGAACCTTTTCAGATCAGAATTTTTCACTTTTTCTAGAAAATTCCTGAAATGAATCTGAAATTCTGAGCTATTTTGGCAGAATTACTCCCTTTTTGTAACATGCCATTGCAGAATTCAAACTACTTTTCTCATTTTTCTTCTGACTTTAATTTTAGAATTTTGACTTTTTGCTCTCCAAATTCTGACTGTTTTAATCAAAATTTGGATTCTTGTTTTCCTCTAAATTTGGAAATCAATTTTTCTTGTTTTTTTTCCCCTCAAAATTCAAACTTCAACATCAGAAATATTTTTGTCCAATTTTTCTTTTTCTAAGAATTTTGTCTTTCATGATCTGAGACCAAAGTCAGAATTCTTGGAAAAATGTCAAAATTTGTTAGTTTGTTTTTTCAGTGGCCCTAAGCATCTTCTGTAATAATCTATAATTTTGTTTCCAGAGTTGCTGCTTCAAAGAGGCCTTAAAACCACCAAACCAATGTATTTTTAATTACAGCAATAAAAAATTAGTACTTTCTTTTAATCAGTTTACTCACATATTTATTGTTTGATCCAGCATTACATCTGCATTGACAGTTTTCCTCCCAGATTTGATCACAAATCACTTTAAAAATCGTTCATTTGCTTCCTCTAAAGGTTCACTTCCCTGACGTTGAGAAAGTTCAGTGGGTGAACAAGGTACGATTCCGATCATAACAATGTTATTCTCTGCTGTATTTATTGGGTTCTTCTGTCAAGATGATTGTTGAACCACTGGGTTCTGATTGGTTGTGCTTCGGGTTTGGTCACGTGATCAGGTGTTGGAGCAGGCTTGGCCCTTTGTCGGGATGTACATGGAAAAGTTTCTGAGAGAAAACATCCAGAAGACTGTCAGGCTGTCCAACTCTGCGCTCAAAATGTTCACATTTACCAAGATCCACTTCGGACACAGAGTGAGTCTGATTTGTAAGCAAGTTTAAACTCAACGTAAAAAGTACATAAAACTTAACATAAAAAGAAAAGATTCTAAAATTTAATGTGTAAACACACTTGAGATTGACTTTGAACCATCCATTCCTGGGTAGATAAGCAGCTAGCTTAACTACTTTGCATCTGGTCTTCGCTTCTTTCTCTTTTTCTGCTGAAAGTTTAATTTTAAATCATGTGAAAAGTAGTGGTTTGCAACATTGACGTAACGGTTTTGTCATTAAATTCTGTGGTACTATTGTAATAACAATAAAAGTAACAATAACAACTATTGTTATTACTACTTCTTTAGGTAAATGTATGGTTGTTATACAAAACAATACTACTGTCAGTAAACCGCACATAGTAACTGCATTGAATCATATTTTTTAAATATTTTTATACCTACCTTGAATGAACAGTGGAAATAATATTAAAAATTACATACTCTGCAAAAACACAAAATCTTACCAAGTATTTTTGGCTGGTTTCCAGTGCAACTTTCTTGGTACACTTGAAATAAGACAAAAACCTTTCCGCAAGAAAAAAAGTTTTCTCAAGTCAATAACTCCTTAATTTTGATGGGAGATTATTTAATTGAAAACATAGAAACAATGTCTTCTTATCAGTGAAATAATCTGCCAACAGAACAAGTTCTATCTCCTGTTTTATTTTGGCACTAGCATAATCTATCAATTATTTTGGCAATTAATCGAGAATTCAAAAAATAGGCCAGAAAAAATATATTTTGTTTCTTGTATTTAAATTGTATTGCCTAAAATTAAATACCATTGAAATATTACCTTTACTCTTAAGTTTGACGCATAAAAAACATTTTTAAAACAAATATATCTTTTATTATTATTATTATTCTTGATGAGCAAGTATATGTAATTAGTCAAAATGTACTTTCTTGTACATACATAGCATGCCAGATTATGTACTAACAATCACATATATAAAAAAACCGTTACCTTTTAGCAGCCATGAAAATGGACGTGTTGCAGCATCGACGACGTCTTATTGTGAAATGTCAATTCCGTTTTGCAGAACAGACTCTGGACTATATTTTTAAAAACACATTTATACTTAATTTAAAGCTATACCAAAATTTTGACACTTTTTGCCTCTTTCTTAAGGGCATTTCTTTACGTCGTCCTCCCTCGCTGCTAATAGCACTTAGCAATCGTTAACGTTCGTCAACGGCTCGTTGGCGGAAGTGAGAGCTTAGTGCAACGCAAATAACTGTCCGACCGGAACACAGCGCGCTAAATGGTAAAAGATAATTTACCATTTAGCGCATAGATAATTTGCCTCGAGGATTTTTATACTCAAGGTTCTTGAGTCATTCGACGAATCATTACTGCATTTGCGGTCGGTATTATAGTGTAAGGAAGCCTGAACTGTTGCCTGACGCTCAAGGGTCTCAGTAATGTCCGCCATTTTGTAGTATGTTAGCCTGTAGTACGTTAGCCTGTTTCAAGCCCCGGACTCAACGGGTAAAATCGGGTCCTTCCGTTCACTGCTGCGCCTCCAGTCCAGTCTGTTGTCCAGGTGAACACAGAGGTATTTTCTGCTTTTGTTTTGTTAAACAATGAAACAAAGTAGATAAGTTTTTTTTATATCACAAACTATCAGAATTTGGAATGTTACTTGAAATATTTTAAGAACTTGTGAAGAGCAGAATATTTTATGATTTCTCTACATATTGAACTTAAGATCAAAAGTTATGAATTACACATTTATTTGATAACGCTGCACCAGTGCAGCAAGTTCGGTCAAACATGTAAAAACAACACAACTCTAATTTAATTCAAGTATAATTAGGAGTATAAAAACCAATGCTAATTCAAATGTAAAAGAATCTGAAAGACACAGAAACTATAGGTTGGGCAAACATGTAAAAATAAACTGCAATAAACCTTTCAAATGGTTAATAAAGCGCATCTAGGAATTATGAATGGAATATAACATAAATAATGTGTAGAATTAGGGACCAATACAAATATTAAAATTGGATTGGTGGATTTCTAGTTTTTAACATGCAAGTTAGACATATCTGGAGATGACTTTTTGCCTCCTGTTTTGTCTCTTTTTGACATCGTTCAGCCTCTCAGGATCACTGGGATGAGAGCATACACACATGAAGTGGACCAGAGGGAAGTGGTTTTGGACATGAACATCAAGTCAGTGAAATTAAACACATTTTATTTTCAGGTTGAGCTCTGTAATCTCTAATCAGCTGCGTTTTTCTGCAGTTACGACAGTGACGTGGACATCGACGCGGATGTGAACTCGGCCATCAAAGTTGGCATTAAAGGACTGAAGGTTGGTGTTCATGTTTCATTTCTGCTTCTCCCGTTTCTGTTAACTGCTGTAAAAACCTCCTGACTCTTCCAGTTCCAAGGAATGCTCAGAGTCATCTTAGAGCCTTTGATTAGTCAGGCGCCGCTGGTGGGAGGAGTCACTTTGTTCTTCATTCGCCGCCCTGTAAGTCCACACACACACATTTATGTGACTAGTGAAGAGCAGCCGTAAGATCAGGACTCATGTTTTTATCCTCAGACTCTGCAGATCAACTGGACCGGCATGACCAATTTGTTGGACAGTCCTGCATTTAGGTCTGACTGATGGAGTCTTCTTAGTCACTCACACCTGTTGAGGTTTAAACGTCCTCTTTAATCTGATCTGTCCTCTTTCCAGCTCTCTGTCTGAGGATACCATTCTGGACATTATTGCATCCCTCATGGTTTTGCCAAACCGCATGTGCTTTCCTCTGATTGACCAACTCAAAGTAGATCAGATGAGATTTCCTCTTCCTCGGGTGTGTATGAGAAAAAACCTCAAGAGCTACTGACACTTTAAATCTGTCAAACACATCAAGAGTATGAATGTCCTCAAAGGACCAATTGAGCCAGAATGTATTAATAAAATCCATTCAGAAACTGATAAAATATTAATAAATTACTGTATCCTCATTCAATAAGAATCTCATAATGCTACATATTGGACATCTTCTCACATTGATCAGTTCCTCCAAGATTTTGCAATCATCTATGTATATATACATAGTATATATACATATATGTGTATGTATGTATATATATTTTTTATATACACATATATATATACATAAATATATATACACATAATCAAAATCACTGATATTTGTGCTAATTTAGAAATATCTATAAGAAATTTTGCAGTAAATGCGTAAAAGCCACTTTAATTTGATTGAGAATTTCTTGTTTGAGCTCACAACTGTTATCTTGAAGGTTCTCCTTATGTGTTAATCTGGAGTTTAGAGTTTAGAGGACAGGAGTTTAATCCAAACAGTTCTGATGTGAAACCTCCTGACTGCTGCCCCCTGCAGGGTGTGGTCAGGGTCCATGTGTTGGAGGCCAGGGACCTGGTGGCCAAGGACACCTACATGATGGGCATGGTGAAAGGCAAGTCGGACCCTTACGTCAAGCTCCGAGTCGGCGACCGACGCTTCAAAACCAAGACCATCAAAGAAAACCTGCATCCGAAATGGAATGAAGTTTATGAGGTCGGGAGCAAAACGCCTACATGCTTTGGCTCATTTGATGATCTTTGAGGAATTATGCAGTCATTCCATCTGTGCTCAAATCACGACTAATTTGCATTTTCCTTTATGTGCGTCTTTTTGTTAAACTCTCACCCACTCTAATTAGCTCACCTCTACACCCATTAGGATCTAAAGCTTAATTACAATCACACATTTCTTTCTTTAAGAATTTTACTCAACTATACAGTCTCTGAAATTATGAACAGGAAAACTTTTTCCTTGCAGTTTGTTGTTCACGAAGCGCCTGGTCAAGAGCTGGAGATGGAACTATTTGATGAAGACAGAGATAAAGATGATTTTCTGGGAAGGTAGGAGTCAGTCTTACAGAAGTACGTTGCTGGATGCGTTTTTGAATACTATGCTGTTATAAATATTATCATATTTGTAGAAGCACCTCCATGTTTTTAACATGGATATTTTGTGATTAAGATTACAGCAAGACATCTGTTAAAATTTCTTAACCTCAATGGTGTGGAACAAAAGCGAATGAGGCGGTTAATGCAATGCGTATCTTTAAATCCTGGACCTGATTTAATTTCAGGTGTTGCCATGGTTATGTGGCATGTAGATTTTCATGACTCACGACGTCATGCTACAGAGGAGTCTGGTTTTGGCTTTGAATAACTGCAACATTTTCACTAAATGCAGCATGAAAGCAACCAGAGTTGAAATGTTGACAGAAATCTTGGGGAACCTGTAATTCCAAGGTTCCTTCTACAGAATTCTGAATAAACCAGGAGGAAGAATCACATGACGCGTGTAAAAGCAATATTAAAGTTATTGTGGAACAAAAACATTTGTCTTACTTTCTTGTTCACCTGTGTGATTTTGTACCTCTATCATGTTCGAAATCAAGAAATGTTTCTCTGCTTTAGCTATAACCTGGATTTAGGAGAAGTGAAGCGGGAGAAAGAAATGGATCAGGTGAGACAATCCAGAATAAAGTTAGTACACTGCAAAAATACTAAATCTTACAAAGTATTTTTTTTCTGGCTTATTGTTGTAAACAAATATCTTTGTAAAGCAAAACTAACTTACAACTAACTTTTCCTCAACATGTTTCATGTCAATAATTTCTTAATAATTACTCGGTTTTATTTGTAGACCAAATATAAAACTTTTTTTTTGCAGTGTAACACTCCAAAGGTTTATCCATTCAAATTTTAAACTTTGTTTAATTTAACCACTGGTCGTTTTGTTGAAGTGGTTTCCTCTGGAAGGCGTTCCTCATGGAGAAATTCACCTGAAGCTGCGGTGGCTCGCTCTGAGCACCGAACCCTCTCTGCTGAACGAGGTACGGCAGCCTGGCAGGGACATTTCTGCCAGATTAGGGCTCACTCGTTAACATCAGGGCTGTGAGTAACGTCCCGTCTTTTTTCCAGTCCAACTCCGGCCTGTCCTGCGCGATGCTCGCTGTTTATCTGGACAACGCTTCCAACCTTCCAGTAAGACGCCTGGATCTGATTCAGTTCATTTCCAATAATTTATGACAGCAAGTCGAGTTTTTACAGGTGTTTCTTTTGTTGCCTACAGAAAGACCAAAAGGAGTTAACTGTACATCACAAACATGGGAAACACAGCAAAGAGGAACGGGTAAGACCAAAGCTTCATCTCATTCTTGTTCTGCTTCTGATTATAATTTAATGCTGATGTTTTCAAAGATAAATTATTTCCTCATTTGTAAAATTGATACCAAAGTGTAACATCATAAAATGCTCATTTGAATTTTTAAATACTTTTTGGTGTAGAAGTTTTTATAAGATTACTAATTCTTTTATCATATTAAGATAATATGAATGATATAATATATATGTATATATGTATGTATATATCCATCATTATTTATGGTTTTCTTGTAAAAGGAGTTTATCCTCGGATTATTTCGACTAATCTGATAATATTGAGACTTGTTTTATTTTTACAACTTTTTTCTTGGAATAAAAGTACGGAGCCCCCAAGGAGACATGGAGATTTTTTTTTCTTTTGCGTTTTGCGAGGGAACGCAAAAGAAAGAAAATTCCTCATGTCCCTTAGGGGCCTCCGTATAAAATAACTTTTCTCGTATTCTGAATTTATTCTTGAATACAATTTTTTTTGTATAACTCTTTGCAATATTATGACTTGTAAAACTATGATACAACTTTAAATTCTTAATTTGTTTGTACCACTTTATTCTTCCAATAGTTTGACTTTTTTTTATTACAATTTTTTTTTGTATTATGACTTTATTTTTGATGTACAAATTAATTGTTTTAATATTATGACTTTTTATTGTGAAATTATGAATTTTTGTCATGCAACTTTATTGTAATATTTTGACTGTTCTAATTATTTTTCATCAACCTGGCCTCTGTCATCATTAGAACCTCTGATTTAAAGGTGAACTAAATATTTTTTGGATTGTAGGGAATGTAATTATTTGCTGTTTTATTTTCATTAGCAGACTCCAAAAATATTTGAAGTCTGAATATTTTTTACAAACTGTTGAAAACATTCTCTACATGGTTTGTAAAGACAACTGAAAAAGCTTCTGGCTTTCTCATGTTTTTCCCTG